CCAGTGTCACGCCCTGGCTCTGGGGACTCTTAAATGTTGAGCCAGGGTGTGGATTTTTCTATGTTTAGTTTTTCTATGTTTTCGTTCTAGATTGTTTTGATCTATGTTGGCCGGGGTGGTTCCCAATCAGATGCAGCTGTAGCTCGTTGTCTCTGATTGGGGACCATATTTAGGCAGCCTGTTTTGCACTAGTCTTTGTGGGATCTTGTTCCGTTTGGTTTGTTGTGTATAACCTAGGACTTCACGTATCGTTTGTTTGTTGTTTTTGTTCGTGTAAGTACTATTAAAGAATGTACGCTTATCACGCTGCGCCTTGGTCCGTGTCTTCAGTCGACGATCGTGACAGAAGATCCCACCATAAGAGGACCAAGCAGCGTGCCCAGGAGGAGAAGATGGCGATGTCGCAGGTGGGCAAATGGTGGTCTTGGGAGGAGATCTTCGCGGGCAGAGGGCCATGGGCAAAGGTAAATGCCCAGGCAGGAGAGGAGAAACGGCGCCAACCGCGCCAACGACGAACACGCGAGAGGCAACCCCAATATTTTTTTTTGGGGGGGGCACACGGCGTGGATGAAGGGGCAGCAGGAAGCAGCTACAGGGCGAATCTGCGGACTAGGAGAGGAGGCCACCAGGTTACGGGGGCTATTGGTCATGAGGGAGAGGGAGAGTGTAGAGGCACGGCAAGAGGAACTGGTTAGGCAGCAGAGGGAGCGGAGGTTTAGAAGGAAACCCAGTCCCGCTCCTCGCACCAAGCAAGTGCTGTGTGTCACCAGGCCGGTCCGGCCCGTTCCTGATTCCCGCACAAGGCCAGTGGTGTGTGTTCCCAGTACGGTCCGGCCCGTTCCTGCTCCCCGCACTAAGCCTGTGGTGCGCGTCGCCAGCCCGGTCCGGCCTGTGCCTATCCCTCGCACCAAGCCAGTGGTGTGCGTCGCCAGCCCGGTCCGGCCTGTTCCTGTCCCTCGCACCAAGACAGTGGTGCGCGTCGTCAGCCCGGTCCGGCCTGTTCCTGCTCCCCGCACCAAGCCAGTGGTGCGAGTCATCAGCCCGGTCCGGCCTGTTCCTGCTCCCCGCACCAAGCCAGTGGTGCGCGTCGCCAGCCCGGTCCGGCCTGTTCCTGTCCCTCGCACCAAGCCTGTGGTGCACGTCGCCAGCCCGGTCCGGCCTGTTCCTGTCCCTCGCACCAAGCCTGTGGTGCGCGTCGCCAGCCCGGTCCGGCCTGTTCCTGCTCCCCGCACCAAGCCAGTGGTGCGCGTCGTCAGCCCGGTCCGGCCCGTTCCTGCTCCCCGCACCAAGCCAGTGGTGCGTGTCCAGTCCGGCACGGTCAGCTGCTCCACTCCGGAGCCAGAGCAATCCGCTCCACCGGTGTCCAGTCCAGCTCCGGCCAGCGGGGCCAGACCAGATCAGGGGCGCAACGGGGGGGTGGAGAGAGAGTGGTGGTCACGCCCGGAGCCGGATCCGCCTCCGAGGCGGAATGCCCACCCGGCCCCTACCCTCTTGTGTTTGTGTGGCGCGGTCGCAGTCCGCGCCTTTGGGGGGGGGGGTACATGTGTTGTGTTGGATTTGCCCCAAACATAACTCTTTGTATTCAGGACAATACGTTAATTTCTTTGCCACATTTGTTGAAGTATTACTTAAGTACCTTGTTGCAAACAGATTGCATATTTTGGAATATTTGTATTCTGTACAGGCTTCCCTATTTTCACTGTCATTTATGTAAGCATTAAGTAACTACAATGTTGTTGATCCATCCTCAGTTATCTCCTATCACAGCCATTAAACTCTGTAACCGTTTTAAAATCACCATTGGCCTCATGGTGAAATCCCTGAGCGGTTTCCTTCCGCCCCTGTATCTTTGTAGTGACTTGGTGTATTGATACACCATCCAAAATGTAATATATAACGGCACCATGCTCAAAGGGATATTCAACGTTTGCTTTTTTTTTATTTACCCATCTACCAATAGGTGCCCTTCTTTGCGAACCATCGAAAAACCTCCCTGGTCTTTGTGGTTGAATCTGTACTAGACATTCACTGCTGGACTGAGGGACCTTACAGATAATTGTATGTGTGGGGTACAGAGATGGGGTAGTCATTTAAAAATCATGTTAAACACTGTTATTGCACACAGAGTGAGTCCATGTGACTTGTTAAGCACATTTTTACTCCTGAACATATTTAGGCTTGCCATAATAAAGGGGTTGAATATTTATTTACTTTTGAATTAATTCCACTTTGATATTATGGGTATTGTGTGTAGATCAGTGACACAAAATCTCAATTTAATCAATTTTAAATTCAGGCTGTAACACAACACAATTTGGAAAAAGTCAAGGGGTGTGAATACTTTCTGAAGGCACTGTCTCTCCACCTCCTACCGCCAAAAGAACCAACAGCATGTGCAACCCGTGAAGTAAGTGTAAATATAATTTTAGCTGTATTTTTTAGGGCGACTTCGGTCGGACTGAAAATCCATGGAATAACCATGGTAACAGTCTGATGTTTAGGCTAAGTGATACCCAGCCCCATCCCTCAGCTTTAGGTTACCAAATGAAGTGGTGGGGCTGCCAGTGGGCTGAAACACAAACTCAGGATTGTGGCTTTAACCCCTGAGTTAAACATGCAGTCTAAGGCCTACACACTGGTAGGCTACAATGATCTACAAATATTTAATACAGTGCATTCGGAAAGTATTCAGAACCCTTCACCTTTTCGACATTTTGTTACGTTACAGCCTTATTCCAAAATTGATTACATAATTTTTTTCCCTCATCAATCTACACACAATACCCCATAATGACAAAGCGAAAACAGGTTTTTTAAGAAATTTTAGCAAATGTATAAAAAATAAAAAACTGAAATACCTTATTTACATAAGTATTCAGACTCTTTGCTATGAGACTCAAAATTGAGCTCAGGTGCATTCTGTTTCCGTTGAGCATCTTTGAGATGTTTCTGCAACTTCATTGGAGTTCACCTGTGGTAAATTCAATTGATTGGACATGATTTGGAAAGGCTCAGACCTGTCTGTATAAGGTCCCACAGTTGACAGTGCATGTCAGAGCAAAAACCAAGCCATGAGGTCGAAGGAATTGTTCGTAGAGCTCCGAGACAGGATTGTGTTGAGGTACAGATCTGGGGAAGGGTACCAAAAAATCTGCAGCATTGAAGGTCCCCAAGAACACAGAGGCCTCCATCATTCTTAAATGGAAGAAGTTTGCAGCCACCAAGACCTTTCCTAGATCTGGCCGCCCGGCCAAGCTGAGCAATCGGGTGAGAAGAGCCTTGGTCAGGGAGGTGACCAAGGACCCGATGGTCACTCTGACAGAACTCCAGAGTTCCTCTGTGGAGATGGGAGAACCTTCCAGAAGGACAACCATCTCTGCAGCACTCCACCAATCAGGCCTTTATGGTAGAGTGGTCAGACGGAAGCCACTCTGTGGCTCAGTAAAAGGCACAGCCCGCTTGGAGTTTGCCAAAAGGCACCTAAAGGACTGTCAGACCATGAGAAACAAGATTCTCTGGTCTGATGAAACCAAGTTTGAACTCTTTGGCCTGAATGCCAAGCGTCACGTCTGGAGGAAATCAGGCACCGCTCATCACCTGGCCAATACCATCCCTATGGTGAATCATTGTGGTGGCAGCATCATGCTGTGGGGATGTTTTTCAGCGGCAAGAACTGGGAGACTAGTCAGGAACAAGGGAAAGATGAACGGAGCAAAGTACAGAGAGATCCTTGATGAAAACCTGCTCCAGGGCGCTCAGGACCTCAGACTGGGGCGAAGGTTCACCTTCCAACAGGACAACAACCCTAAGCACACAGCCAAGACAACGCAGGAGTGGCTTCGGGACAAGTCTCTGAATGTCCTTGAGTGGCCCAGCCAGAGCCCGGACTTGAACCCGATCGAACATCTCTGGAGAGACCTGAAAATGGCTGTGCAGCGACGCTTCCCATCCAACCTGACAGAGCTTGAAAGGATCTGCAGAGAAGAATGGGAGAAACTCCCCAAATACAGGTGAGCCAAGCTTGTAGCGTCATACCCAAGAAGACTCTAGGCTGTAATCGCTGCCAAAGGTGTTTCAACAAAGTACTGAGTAAAGGGTCTGAATACTTATGTAAATGTGATATTTCCGTTTTTTATTTGTAATAAATTAGCAAAAATTTATAAAAACCTGTTTTTGCTTTGTCATTATGGGGTATTGTGTGTTGATTGATGAGGTGAAAAAACAATTTCATCCATTTTAGAATAAGGCTATAATGTAACAAAATGTGGAAAAAGTCAAGGGGTCTGAATATTTTCCGAATGCACTGTATTATGAACAGTAGGCAACAACATTCTAACTCACAATATTGATGTAGCCTATGATCTGTCTCCACTCCAGGCAGATGGGTGCTGTAGTTCGAATCCAAGGTGGAAAATAAATTAGGAATTGGAGGGGGAAGAAAAATACATTTGAGGCAAGACACTGTCTAATGTGATAGCCTATTGTTTTCAGACTGTAAACTGTTGTTGTTCAAATTTACCTTGACTAGTGAATAAATCAATAAATATTTGCTTTACTATGTCATACCGCAGCCACATGTTGCCATTTTGACCACATGTAGAAACTGCATACTGGATTTAGGCCATTGTTTACAACATTTTTTCTCAAAGTGAGGTTTATCATTCGCTTCCTACTGTGGAGTAGCCTTTTTTTACTAATGGGAGACTACATGTATAGACACAATAGGCAATGATAATTGAACGTAGGGTACTATTTCCCGGACACAGTATATAAAAAACAAGAATTTAGTGTAACCAATCAAATACAATAATTTTCAATAAAGTTTTCAACGGTTGGGGCGAGTGACGGAGGAATTGACTCGGCAATCAGTGCTCATTTGTAGCAGCTGTTTCCTTATTCCAACTCGAAAGGTAACTTTCGACCTTCATGTTCTTTATCGTCTACGCGTGAAGTTATGAAGCTTAGCATATTTATAGTTTTTTATTTGCAATTTCTTTAAAATGCAGAAAGCCTTGAAGAAGTATTTTGTAAACATGGACGAGTATCTAGCCAGCATCGGTCTCTACCGGAAAATGATGGCACGAGACGCGTCCTGTCTATTTCGAGCTGTCTCTGAGCAGGTAGGCTAAAGCCAATTTAGCTACTGTATACTTTTTTTTATTACATTCCATTTCACGTTCAACGTTTTGAAAATAAACATGCAATAGTACAGTTCTCAATAACTACGACTGAATTCATGGTGTGAAAATCGGAACTCATGGGTTCATTGGGTTGACTGCTAAATTATTAATACCCAAAGTGGCCAGAGTTGAATCATGGAATGCACAGAATTATGCTACACAAGGAGAGAAGAGGCCGAATACAAAAAATTATGCAATCATGTACCGGTATCTCTTTCCTTTTCTCAAGCTTTATTACTCTCAGAATTTCCAACAAAAGATAAGGAAAGACTGTGTCACCTTCATGAGAGCAAACCGATGCAACTTTGAACCTGTAAGTTTATTTATATTTTTGCATGCACAATGTATTCACAGTACAGAGCAAGTTAGTAAAAAATCTAAGTCTATAATGACATTCTTTATCATGACGTGCTTTATCAGTAGGTCCGGCGTGGCTCAGTTGGTAGAGCATGGCGCTTGTGGGTTCGATTCCCACGGGGGACCAGTATGACAATGTATGCTCTCACAATAGTAAGTCGCTCTGGATAAGGGCGTCTGCTAAATGACAAAAATGTAAATGACATGCTTTCTCTTGTAGTTTGTTGAAGGGTCATTTGAGAAGTATCTGGAACGTCTGGAGGACCCCACGGTATGTTTATAAGTACATGTTATACAAGCATATTGCACAATCCATTGGTCATACCCTTAAACATGTTTTTCTAAAGGAAACCGCTGGACAAGTTGAGATAAAGGCATTGTCATTGTTGTACAGGTACGTGCTTCACAATGTGTTCAGAGTTATACACCCCCACGTTGTATAACCTTTGTTGGCCGACAGGACATTAAATGTGATATGTAAAATGAGATTAGTGATTTGCATCTTTTGCTTTTAATGTAACTGGAAATAAATCTGTGTTCTCAAATATTTACTGTGTGGCAGGCGGTGCTTCCTCATATACAGGTACCCTGGGAAGCCACCAACTGAGATAACTGAGAAAGAGTATGTGGAGAAGGTAAGTGTGTGTGGTTCATCACAGCCTTCTGAACCCAGGCCCTGAAGCATCTCAAATGCCTGACTAGTGAAGTAATTACCAGGCAAAACTGAATCACATTGCTAATTAAACCAGGTGTGTGGAAAGGTGAGATGACATGTGAGACTGTGGTTTGTCCGCTAGAGGGCGCTGCTCTCATTTTACCGTTTGAGAAGACTACTGCTATTTAAAAAAGTCAAATATTTATACATTTTCTTTTTACCAGCTTTTATCTTTCTTAATTCCATCTATGTAGACAATTTGATGTGTCTATAATTTTCACCATGGGATGGGGATAAAATGCATTACACTTCTCACTGTTCTGGATTCTGCTCTTCTGACTGTATTGCAGATTTTGCTGTGTTGCTCCAACAATGGCCACTATGACATTGTGTACCCCAGGAACTACCCGATCGATGCAGCTCTGTGTCAGGGTCAGTACTCTCACACCATCAGAATTCTGAGGAACCAGTGGATATGTCTTCACTCTTTAAGTCATGTAACTAGCTACTCATTGATTGTAGTTACTTAATATTCTAATGAGTAGTAGTTCCATGTGTAGTCAAAAGGAAATGTACTTATTTTTTCTTCAATTGAATCCAGCTCTGTTGTATGAGCTGCTGTACACACAAGTCCTTGGTGTTGAGGAGGTGGAGTTGCAGGGAGCATTGGAAGGTTTTCGTGGTGGAGGTCGTCGCTATAGGAACAGCCTATCAGTGTGCAGTGAGGATGCAGGCTACGACACCCCCGAGGACAGGGGTCAGACTCAGAGGTGAAGTCTTGTTCTGCACAATCTTTTTGAATTCCATAAAGTCCTCCTGACTAAACCTGTCTTATACTCCGCCAGTTACCGACAGTATGCATAAATTGCCCCTGCATCTACAGTTGAAGTCGGAAGTTTACATACACTTAGGTTGGAGTCATTAACTTGTTTTTCAACCACTCCACAAATTTCTTGTTAACAAACTATAGTTTTGGCAAGTCGGTTAGGACATCTACTTTGTGCATGACACAAGTAATTTTTCCAATAATTGTTTACAGACAGATTATTTCACTTATAATTCACTGTATCTCAATTCCAGTGGGTCAGAAGTTTACATATACTAAGTTGACTTTGCCTTTAAACAGCTTGGAAAATTCCAGAAAATGATGTCATGGCTATAGAAGCTTCTGATAGGCTAATTGACATCATTTGAGTCAATTGGAGGTGTACCTGTGGAGGTATTTCAAGGCCTACCTTCAAACTCCGTGCCTCTTTGCTTGACATCATGGGAAAATCAAAAGAAATCAGCCAAGACCTCAGAAAAAGAATTGTAGACCTCCACAAGTCTGGTTCATCCTTGGGAGCAATTTCCAAACGCCTGAAGGTACCACGTTCATCTGTACAAACAATAGTACGCAAGTATAACCATGGGACCACGCAGCCGTCATACCGCTCAGGAAGGAGAAGCGTTCTGTCTCCTAGAGATTAATGTACTTTGGTGCGAAAATCAATCCCAGAACAACAGCAAAGGACCTTGTGAAGATACTGGAGGAAACGGGTACAAAAGTATCTATAGCCCCAGTAAAACTAGTCCTACAGTGAGGGGGGAAAAAGTATTTGATCCCCTGCTGATTTTGTACATTTGCCCACTGACAAAGACATGATCAGTCTATAATTTTAATGGTAGGTTTATTTGAACAGTGAGAGACAAAATAAATAGAAAAACGCATGTAAAAAAATTTATGAATTGATTTGCATTTTAATGAGGGAAATAAGTATTTGACCCCTCTGCAAAACATGACTTAGTACTTGGTGGCAAAACCCTTGTTGGCAATCAGAGGTCAGACGTTTCTTGTAGTTGGCCACCAGGTTTGCACACATCTCAGGAGGGATTTTGTCCCACTCCTCTTTGCAGATCTTCTCCAAGTCGTTAAGGTTTCGAGCCTGACGTTTGGCAACTCGAACCTTCAGCTCCCTCCACAGGTTTTCTATGGGATTAAGGTCTGGAGACTGGCTAGGCCACTCCAGGACCTTAATGTGCTTCTTCTTGAACCACTCCTTTGTTGCCTTGGCCGTGTGTTTTGGGTCATTGTCATGCTGGAATACCCATCCATGACCCATTTTCAATGCCCTGGCTGAGGGAAGGAGGTTCTCACCCAAGATATGATGGTACATGGCCCCGTCCATTGTCCCTTTGATGCGGTGAAGTTGTCCTGTCCCCTTAGCAGAACCCCCCCCCCCAAAGCATAATGTTTCCACCTCCATGTTTGACGGTGGGGATGGTGTTCTTGGGGTCATAGGCAGCATTCCTCCTCCTCCAAACACGGCGAGTTGAGTTGATGCCAAAGAGCTCCATTTTGGTCTCATCTGACCACAACACTTTCACCCAGTTCTCCTCTGAATCATTCAGATGTTCATTGGCAAACTTCAGACGGGCCTGTATATGTGCTTTCTTGAGCAGGGAGACCTTGCGGGCGCTGCAGGATTTCAGTCCTTCACGGCGTAGTGTGTTACCAATTGTTTTCTTGGTGACTATGGTCCCAGCTGCCTTGAGATCATTGACAAGATCCTCCCGTGTAGTTCTGGGCTGATTCCTCACCGTTCTCATGATCATTGCAACTCCACGAGGTGAGAACTTGCATGGAGCCCCAGGCCGAGGGAGATTGACAGTTCTTTTGGGTTTCTTCCATTTGCGAATAATCGCACCAACTGTTGTCACCTTCTCACCAAGCTGCTTGGCAATGGTCTTGTCCCTGACATCCTTGGAGAGCTCTTTGGTCTTGGCCATGGTGGAGAGTTTGGAATCTGATTGATTGCTTCTGTGGACAGGTGTCTTTTTATACAGGTAACAAGCTGAGATTAGGAGCACTCCCTTTAAGAGTGTGCTCCTAATCTCAACTCGTTACCTGTATAAAAGACACCTGGGAGCCAGAAATCTTTCTGATTTGAGAGGGGGTCATACTTATTTCCCTCATTAAAATGCAAATCAATTTATAACATTTTTGACATGCGTTTTTCTGGATTTATTTGTTATTCTGTCTCTCACTGTTCAAATAAACATACCATTAAAATTATAGACTGATCATTTCTTTGTCAGTGGGCAAACATACAAAATCAGCAGGGGATCAAATACTTTTTTCCCTCACTGTATATCGACATAACCTGAAAGGCCACTCAGCAAGGAAGAAGCCACTGCTCCAAAACCGCCATAAAAAAGCCAGACTACGGTTTGCAACTGCACATGGGGACAAAGATTGTACTTTTTGGAGAAATGTCCTCTGGTCTGATGAAACAATAATAGAACTGTTTAGCCATAATGACCATTGTTATGTTTGGAGGAAAAAGGGGGATGCTTGCAAGCCGAAGAACACCATCCCAACTGAAGCACGGGGGTGGCAGCATCATGCTGTGGGGGTGCTTTGCTGCAGGAGGGACTGGTGCACATCACAAAATAGATGGCATCATGAGGAAGGAAAATGATGTGGATATATTGACGCAACATCTCAAGACAGTCAGGTAGTTAGCTTTGTTGCAAATGGGTCTTCCAAATGGACAATGACCACAATCATACTTCCAAAGTTGTGGCAAAATGGCTTAAGGACAACAGAGTCAAGGTATTGGAGTGGCCATCACAAAGCCCTGACCTCAATCCTATAGGAAATGTGTGGGCAGAACTGAAAAAGCGTGTGCGAGCAAGGAGGCCTACAAACCTGACTCAGTTACACCAGCTCTGTCAGGAGGAATGGGCCAAAATTCACCCAACTTATTGTGGGAAGCTTGTGGAAGGCTACACAAAATGTTTGACCCAAGTTAAACAATTTTAAAGGCAATGCTACCAAATACTAATTGAGTGTATGTAAACTTCTGACCCACTGGGAATGTGATGAAAGAAATAAAAGCTGAAATCATTCTCTACTATTATTCTGACATTTCACATTCTTAAAATAAAGTGGTGATCCTAACTGACCTAAAACAGGGAGTCTTTACGAGGATTAAATGTCTGGAACTGTGAAAAACTGAGTTTAAATATTTGGCTAAGGTGTATGTAAACCGCCGACTTCAACTGAATATATTGGAATAGTCATTGTATATTTTTTTGTAAAGTTACATTTTTCTACACTGTGTTTACTCTTGTAGGGACGATTGGGAGCTCAATGGGCACAGTCACACAGAGGACAAAGCCAGATCTGGAGCAGAGGAAGTATATGTGACAATGTTTTCTGTAACGTCTATAATGTTTTAGAAAGCGTTATGGTTACCACCTCCTGAGGGATTGTAGTTTGTAACATTATTTAGAATAGATTCTAGGAGCACATACAGTGTCTTATCTCTTTCTCGTCCTAAGACTCCAGATGGACCAACAAAACTCTCTCTCCCGTACAAGGTGCTCAAAGCACTGGATTCTGAGATGTACAGAAATGTAGAGTTTGATGTATGGCATGACAGTCGCAAAGGTATGCCATGTTGCCCCTTCTTTTGGGGAAACTTGAGTTGGATTTCTTGTGGTAAAGTGAAACTGCTAAGTTAAAGGTGCAACGTTAGTCATAAAGTTAGTTTCAAGATCCATGCAGAGCACAACTGTTATCCGTGCTGAATATTCACATGGGGTTGATATGCTCATACCACACAGTGATTTAGATTTTTTTTTCTCGTAGAATAGTTGTATAATTGGGCATTCTCGAATGGCATATAATGTCTCTGAAACAGAAATGCAGAAGACTGATTACATGGTGTTTGCTGGAAGACAGTATTTCTTGGGCGACAAGTGTCAGGTAATCCAATTTATCCACTCATTTAAGATTCTTTGAGTGTTTTTTGTGCAAACTGTACTCCGAACATACTCTATGACCGTAAGGTTAGCCCATGTCTCCTATGCAGGTTCGTCTCGACCCCAAAGGGAAGTATTACAATGCCTTCATTCAGGAGGTGGGCACTCACCCCAGCGCTGTGACCGTGTTCATCGAAGAGCTTGGAGAAAAGTGAGATACCAGTCTCTTTTAAAACACCCCCATTGAACTGACTTACAAACAGGCACTACTGCACAGCACCCATCAATGTGTGCTTATTTTAGTATTCTGGCTCATGAATGATTGCCCCTGGCCTTGCATCTTCCTATTGTCAGTCATACAGTATAGTAGATATGGTGAATTACTTTCTATACAGTGCTGTTTTTAATATTAGGTTTGAGACTTCTTCTCTCTATACCCTACCACTTTCAGACATCTTGTGTCTCTGACTAACTTGAAGCCTGTGAACCCTGTCCCTGCCTGGAACATCACCCCAAGCCGCAAGGGACCATCATACAGCAGGCCTGAGCAGTATCCTGGAGAAATGGGTCTGTATGCCCTTTAACCTTTAGATAGTCTTAGCTAGTAAGTTTCTAATAGCAGTGACATTTGTATAGGCCTCAGACAATTAAAGATGACTTGTACAACTTTGTCTTTTACCTCTTCTCCCCTGCACCAGACTCAGAGGTGAGAGGCCGGCGGCGTTTCTTTAAGAAGCCCAGAGGGAAGGAGATGCTGATGGTGTCTTACAATCGATCCCAGCCTGGCCTGCCTCCCCGCTTCCGGCCAGGCCCTGGCGGCATACCCCCTGGGCACGCCCCTGGCATGCATGACCCCCCACCACCTCCAGGGACACTGCCCTATGAACACTATCACCCACATCCTCCAACCAGGCCCCCGCGAGGATATGGCCCACCCAGGTCTGTGTGCTTGCTACTTCAATAGTCAAACGGCAGGTTTGAGAAATATCACTCATTCACACCGCTGCTGTTATACACAATTGAAAGTTCCTGTGCTGCACCATTACTGATTTGATACTCTTTATTTATTTTGGGAAATAAGGCCATGTTCCTTACCATTGATTATATTCTGTTGGTATCTATGATGTTGCCAATCTGGGTTCTGTTCAGAAGTTCAGCCCGTTTCCTGAACAGGCATCACCTCATTGGGCCAGAGGCGGCATACTACCCTCACCCTGGAAAACGCTGCTACCAGAGCTTCGACAACTACTCATTCAGGTCACGGTAATAGACATCTTTAATCATCTCCCATGCAATGTTGAGCAGTGACTGAATGTTGTGGTTATAAATGTATGTGTATTCATTTGAGCTCTTGCAGCCGAAGCAGGCGCCAGATGCATGCTATCAACAAAGAGTGCCAGTTCAGCTACGTCTCCGAGGCTGGCGAGGAGGCACGGGACATGGAAGGAACAATCACCTTCTACGAGATTGAGGAGGGGGATGAGACCACGTTCCCTCCCTTGCCGGTAACTAAGTATCACAGAAGCCCTCAAGAGTTCAGACTTTGGTAGTTGGGAGCATGAGTATGCAACTGGAGTATTCAACAGTCAACCTGCTTTCTGATTTGTAACCTTCTCTTTAGGGACAGGCTGTAGCAAACCCCATGGTTCCAGCTACCCCTACCTACTGGGTGCAGCGGGGGGCGAGCCCCATCCCCACGTCTGGCAAACAGGCCATGACCTCATCAGAGGAGGACGCTGACGAGAGGAGCAATGGTGGCGACCAGGGTAGGCCAGCCTGTCCAGTGATGCTGTCTTGATCACATGTATTTGTTCAACTTGAGCCAGGATTTGTATCAGAATGTAAATGGAAATTCGATGTTGTGTATCTTTCTCAGGTGAATATTCGGAGGAGTACATCTATACTGCTCAAGGTGAGTGTTGATTTCACCTGCTGTGGAGATTTCCATGAAGTACATGGAGAGCCCTTAGGAAGAACTGGTAGGACAGTCCTTGTCCACCATTTCATTATATTCTGTTCTGTAGATGCATTATTTTAACTGGTTACGTAAAGACCGATTAGGCTATTCCATTTCCCAACTGATGTCATTTGGCAGCAGTAAAGGCTCATGATATGGAGACCCCTCGTACAATATGGATAAAAGTGCACAATTATCTTGTGAAGTCTCTTCATCAGTGGTCCTCTGTAGCTCAGCTGGTAGAGCACGGCGCTTGTAACGCCAAGGTAGTGGGTTCGATCCCCGGGACCACCCATACACAAAAATGTATGCACGCATGACTGTAAGTCGCTTTGGATAAAAGCGTCTGCTAAATGGCTTATTATTATTATTATTATTATTATTATTTATCTTGCAGACCCAGGGTTCCAGAGCCCGTCTATGTATGCTGCAGCTGAGTCCACTGCCAACCTGGTACACAAAATACCCGTTGTATTCACTATGCCTTCTCAAATATTGCCCTTCAAATAATAATGCTCTCTCAAATTGCCCTTCACTTTTTTTGGGGGGTTGAAACCTAAGGGTAATAAAAGTTGATTTCACATGTGCGATGATTATATTTATTGTATAATTTCCAATTAATGTGCTGATATTGGGGCTGATCTGTTTTGACTGCGTTCCTGTCTTTTTTTTTTTTGCCTGCCTGCCTTTCCAGACCATTGAAGAGGGAGGATCTCGTGCTGGCTCGCCACAAGAGGGAGTAGCTACCTACAGCTACTCACAGCAGGTACTGCATGCCTCACAATCGGTGTTACTGAACTCAGTTGTCACATTTTGGCGGGAGGGGGGAACAGGTGTTTAATTTATACGCAGCTGCTTTAAACATTTTTATTAACTGTAGAATGTTCCTCTTTGGATGAAAGTTAAAACGATTAGATTATTATTATTTTGCGTAACATTGGACTTAAGCATGAATTGTCTGTATGTTGTAGTCAAACTGTTGAGGGTTATTTAGATGTTCTGTTTCCTCAGCTGGTGGTGAAGTCAGCAGTCATCACCTCCTCACAGGCTGTAAGCACAGCCCCAGCAGCTATCTTCACCTCCAACTCCTCCTCTTCCGCTAGCAGCTCTCAGACCCCTCCAGCACCAATGGCTCCACCCTCAAGCCATCCTCAGGGGGCTCCCATGCCCCCACACGCTATGGGCAGACCAGGTACCCACTCTTTATACAAGTTATGGTCAGACATAATAAGTTGGTTATTGGATCATATCTTATCAGGGACCTCATGCCTAACGGATGTCTGTTTTTCTCTTGTTTTTAGTTTTATCCATGCAGTCTCCTCCTTCCTCTCCCTGGTTTGTGAATGAGATGGGGGAAGCAGTCAGTGCCGCACCCCCTCCACCTTACTCCTATGACCCCAACGGCAATGACCTTCCACGAGGTCAGACAAACTGTTCCCCATGGCGCGTGTGTTCAAGTTGTAAACTTCTAATGGTTGAATTAGAAAATGTGATGGTAATTGTAACTAAATGTATTTATCTTTTTATAGATTGCAAGGTCATCCAATATTACTTTAATTTAGGAGTCCAAGTAAGTAAAGGGGATCAAATGAATATAGCAGTGTTCTCCAACCCTGTTCCTGGTCCTAACGTCCTGTAGGTTTTCGCTCCAACCCTAATCTAGCACACCTGATTCTAATAATTTGCTGGTTGACTGAATCAGGTTGTTTACAACAGGGGTTGGAGCGAAAACCTACAGGAGGGTAGCTCTCCAGGAACAGAGTTGGAGAGCCCTGGATTATATTCTGAACAACAGTATAAACTCATCATGCAACAATTTCATAGATTTTACTGAGTTAGTTCATTTGTGAAAATTCAGTACGCCCTAATCTATGGATTTCACATGACTGGGAATACAGATATGCATCTGTTGGTCACACATACCTTAAATAAAATGGGCCTCACAATGGGCTTCAGGATCTCATGGTATTTTTGTGCATTAAAATTGCCATTGATAAAATGTAATTGTTTGTTGTCTGTAGCTTATGCCTGCCCATACCATAACCCCACCGCCACCATGGGGCACTCTGTTCACAACGTTGACATCAGCAAACCACTCGCCCACACGACGCCATACACGTGTTCTGCGATAGTGAGGCTGGTTAGACGTACTGCCAAATTCTCTAAAATGACGGAGGTGGCTTACGGTAGAGAAATGAACATTCAATTCTCTGGCAACAGCTCTGGTGGACATTCCTGCAGTCAGCATGCCAATTGCGCGCTCCCTCAACTTGAGACATCTGTGGCATTGTTGTGACAATTTGCCTTTTATTGTCCCCAGCACAAGGTGCACCTATGTAATGATCATGCTGTTTAATCAGCTTCTTGATATGCCACACCTGTCAGGTGGATGGATTATCTTGGCAAAGGATAAATGCTCACTAACAGGGATGTAAACAAATTTGTGCACAACATTTTAGAGAAATAAGCTTTTTGTGCGTATGGAACATTTCTGTGATCTTTTATTTCAGCTCATGAAACATGGTACCAACACTTTACATGTTGCGTTTTATATTTTTATTCAGTGTAGTATGGGTGAACAGTAACTGGTCATGAGACATTAGACATGTCTTTTGAATTAAAACAATGTGTGCCTATATTTCTATCTGTGTTGAAACAGTGGTACCAGCAGAGCTACTGGCACTCCATGGTGCAGGTGTATCAGCAGCCAGGTGCTGAGCAACAGTTCCGTTCCTACCCCGGTGCCTCCCCTCCCTCTGATCACACAGTCCCCCAGCCCTACCAAGAGCCTGGGAGAATGGGGCCTGATGGCCAGGGAGACATTCCTGCCAACGGTCAGCGCCACCCCTCTGCCTCATACCTCCGCATTATGAAATGGCACATATGCATTGAATAAGATCTGACTTCTGTGTCATAAGTCTTTGTCACAAGGATCTTAAGACCTCAAGTATCAAACATGACCATCTGTGATCCATACCTTTTTTTCTTAATCTCACCTTTGTTCTCACCCCCAACCTTTTCCTCCCTACCAGGCACCCCCCTGGTCATGGACCCTCCCTCAGCAGGAGCCCCAGGCACAGTGTTCTACCCCTTGGTTCAGGACCAGTGCAGCCAACCCCCACTCCACACCTACGAGTCTTATGTTCCTATGCTTTCTGCCACCTATCACTACCTCTCACCCTGGAACTCAGGCCCTGCCCAACCACGTGTGCTCGCATCCTACTGCCCCTCCTCCAATCACCCAGTCAACTATGTCACTGCACCCACACACCCAGGGCACTTTATCCCTCCTAGCATGTAACCAAGCACTGGGGATGCGGGGAGGGAGGCAGGGTCCCTCTACTATTCACCTCTCATTCACCCTATGCCTGTAAATGTTAATTTGTGTGAAGTTTATTCCACTGTACCTCTGTTGTTCAAGTTTGCTAGTTGGTGGTTGGTTGTGTCTGAAATGTCACCCATAGGGCTTGTCAAGATCATGTAGGGAATAGGGTGTCTCTGTTCCATCCCTACAGTGTTCAGGGGATGTTTATGTTAATATATTTTTTTTTTTGTTTAATTAAAAAAAGTTATGTTTCCTGGAAGTTGTAACAATTTTGTCATTTGAACTGTACCGTTTTTAGAGCAGGGCTCTCCAACCGTGTTCCTGGAGATTAAACTCCTGTAGGTTTTCGCTTCAACCCCAGTTGTAACTAACTGGATTCATCTTATCAACCACTGGTTATTAGAATCAGGTGTGCTAGATTAGGTTTGGAGAGCCCTGCTTTAGAGAAGTCATTTGGTATGATGGTGGTATCGGAGGTTCCAGGGACCTGGCCAGCACAAGGCTGATGTTGCTGCTCCCCTTCCAGTCATGATCAGCACCATGGAGAGCGCTCACTGGTACTCAGGCAGTTTTAAATGTCATTACTAAGTGTAGTTTATAACTCTGTTTCGAGAGGAGAGCTGGTGGGGCTGAACTTTCCTCATTTGACCTTGTTTTTCAGCTTGGTCATTAAAGGCCCAGTGCAGTCAAATGAGGTTTTCCTGTGTTATATTTTCACACTGAGATTGGAATAATACTGTGAAAATGATGATGCCTTTTTAGTGTAGGAGCTGTTGGAAAAGAACGCCTGAAATGTCAGCCTGTTTTGGTGGGATGGAGTTTTGGCCTGCCTGGTGACATCAACAGGCAGTAAATTAGTTAATAGACCAATAAAGTTCCAAACATCTCTGCCAATATCAGCTAGTTTTTAGATTTCCCCTTCTAACTCGGACCACTCCCAGGCAGTCCTAGCTAAATTCTTCATTGAGAAATTGCTCTTGATAAGAAGTGATAACTGCTGAGTTAGGACTTAAGGAAATGCAGGCGCCATGAGTTGTTTTTAGGGGGGTGATTTCAAATCAAATTTTATTTGCCAGATGCGCCGAATACAACAGGTGTAGACATTACCGTGAAATGCTTACTTACAGCCCTTAACCAACAATGTATGTATTTTTTAATATAGTAAAATAAAACAGTGTTGAGGGGGAAAAAAAGAGCAGAAGTTAAATAACAGTAGGGAGACTATATACAGGTGGGTATCGGTGCAGAGTCAATGTGCGGGGGCACCGGCTATTTAAGGTAGTTGAGGTAATATGTACATGTGGGTAGAGTTAAAGTGACTATGCATAAATCAGAAAAATTGAGTAGCAGCAGCATAAAAAGATGGGGTGGGGGGACAGTGCAAATAGTCCGGGAAGCCATGATTAGCTGTTCAGGAGTCTTATGGCTTGGGGGTAGAAGCTGTTGAAAAGCATTTTGGACCTAGACTTGGCGCTCCGGTACCGCTTGCCGTGCGGTAGCAGAGAGAACAGTCTATGACTAGGGTGGCTGGAGTCTAGGACAATTTTGAGGGCCTTCCTCTGACACCGCCTGGTATAGAGGTCCTGGATGGCAGGAAGCTTGGCCCCAGTGATGTACTGGGCCGTACGCACTACCCTCTGTAGTGCCTTGCGGTTGGAGGCCGAGCAGTTGCCATACCAGGCGGTGATGCAACCAGTCAGGATGCTCTCGATGGTGCAGCTGTATAACTTTTTGAGGACCCATGCCAAATCTTTTCAGTCTCCTGAGGGGGAATAGGCTTTGTCGTGCCCTCTTCACGACTGTCTTGGTGTGTTTGGACCATGATAGTTCGTTGGTGATGTGGACACCAAGGAACTTGAAGCTCTCAACCTGTTCCACTACAGCCTGTTGATGGGAATGGGGACGTGCTCAGTCCTCTTTTTTTCCCTGTAGTCCACAATCATCTCCTTTGTCTTGGTCACGTGGAGGTTGTTATTCTGGCACCACACGGCCAGGTCTCTGACCTCCCTATAGGCTGTCTCGTCGGTAATCAGGCCTACCACTGTTGTGTCGTCTGCAAACTTAATGGTGTTGGAGTCGTGCCTGGCCATGCAGTCATGGGTGAACAGGGAGTACAGGAGGGGACTGAGCACGCACCCCAGAGGGGCCCCCATGTTGAGGATCAGCGTGGCAGATGTGTTATTACCTACCCTTACCACCTGGGGGCGGGCCGTCAGGAAGTCCACGATCCAGTTGCAGAGGGAGGTGTTTAGTCCCAGGATCCTTAGCATAGTGATGAGCTTTGAAGGCACTATGGTGTTGAACGCTGAACTGTAGTCAATGAATAGCATTCTCACATAGGTGTTCCTCTTGTCCAGGTGGGAAAGGGCAGTGTGGAGTGCGATAGAGATTGCATCATCTGTGGATCTGTTGGGGCGGTAGGCAAATTGGAGTGGGTCTACGGTTTCTGGGATAATGGTGTTAATGTGAGCAATGACCAGCCTTTCAAAGCACTTCATGGCTACAGACGTCAGTGCTACGGGTCGGTAGTCATTTAGGCAGGTTATCTTAGTGTCCTTGGGCACGGGGACTATGGTGGTCTGCTTGAAACATGTTGGTATTACAGACTCAGTCAGGGACATGTTGAAAATGTCAGTGAAGACACTTGCCAGTTGGTCAGCACATGCTCGGAGTACACGTCCTGGTAATCCGTCTGGCCCTGCGGCCTTGTGAATGTTGACCTTCTTAAAAGTCTTACTCATATCGGCTACGGAGAGCGTGCTCACATAGTCATCCGGAACAGCTGGTGCTCTCATGCATGCTTCAGTATTGCTTGCCTCGAAGCGAGCAAAGAAGTGGTTTAGCTCGTCTGGTAGGCTTGTGTTACTTGGGTGCTGCCAGCTGTGGGCAGGATTGAAATAAACCCAACCCAAGGAAAACTGTTACGGTGCCCTTCATTCCATGACATACAATATTTTCCTATCATCTCGCAAATCTCAATTTTGGACGAGACTGACTTTATTCAGATGATGTCATGATAGCAAGATACCAAGCCTTCTCCTCCGCCCTCTCCTCACCTGCTAGATTTCAGTCACATCTCGCGCCCTACACACGTCTGCCCAATGCATGTAAATAGATTGCCCGCTCCATAGCAAGCTGCTCTATTTGCACTGATTGGTAAAGTAATTTAATGTTGAGCTAAATGTAATTTCAGAGGTTTAAAAAGGAACAGAAAGGAATGATTTAAACCATTTGAAGCGGTTCGTAACTTTATTTTGCTGGTCGGAACAGTGGAACATAACTAAAATAATTATGGTTCTGTTCAGAACAAACCGATTGGAAAATATACTGAATAAAAATAGAAACGCAACATTCAACAATTTCAAAGATTTTTCTGAGTTACAGTTAATTTAAGGAAATCAGTCAGTTGAAAGAAATGCATTAGGCCCTAATCTATGGATTTCACATGACTGGGAATACAGATAAGCAACTGTTGGGCACAGATAGATACCTTAAAAAAAAGATAGGGGCGTGGATCAGAAAACCAGTCAGTATCTGGTGTGACCACCATTTGCCTCATGCAGCGCGACACATCCATCGTATAGAGTTGATCAGGCTGTTGATTGTGGCCTGTGGAATGTTGTCCGACTCCTCTTCAATGGCTGTGCGAAGTTGCTGGATATTGTCGGGAACTGGAACACGCTGTCATACACATCAATCCAGAACATCCCAAACATGCTCAATGGGTGACATGTCTGGTGAGTATGCAGGTCATGGAAGAACTCGGCCATTTTCAGCTTTTAGGAATTGTGTACAGATCCGTGCGACATGGGGCCACGCATTATCATGCTGAAACATGAGGTGATGGCGGCGGATGAATGGCACGGCAATGGGCCTCAGGATCTCGTCACGGTATCTCTGTGCCTTCAAATTGCCATCGATAAAATACAATTGTGTTCATTGTCCGTAGTTTATGCCTGCCCATGCCAGAGCATGTGAGCGGAGTGGAGCGGGAGCGAGCGTGGAGCGCGAGCGGGCGGATTTTGGACAGAGCGCTGAGCGGCATTTTTAAAAGGACGTAGCGTCGCCCTATGTCCCCCTTCAATTTCGCTCGCTCACACCACAAGTCTGAAGCATGCTCAAGCCTGACCCAGAATCCATCTGTTTAATTTAATTTGTGTCGTCCATGAATTTGTATTTTATAGAGCGAGAGGAGCAGCAGCAGCAACAAGAGAAAAGGGTTGATGAATTCAAAAGTTTCTTCACTGATGGAAGCAAAACTGCAAGACCTACTGCAAAATGGTGATGGGGCTCGTTCTGTCAGCGGACATTTGGACCAGTAGAAGAGGGCACAGCTTCCTTGGCATCGTCGCCAGTTTCATTGATGGGATGTTCCGGGGCACACGGTTTTGTTGGGCTGTGAGCACATACAGGGGCACCATACCGCAGATCGTATTTACCAAAAGTATGAAAGTGTACTTAAATATTGGAACGTGCAACGACGTGTGATTCGGGTCATCACTGACAGTGCCAGCAACATGATCAAGGAGTTTAACCTCCTCCCTGGCACTGAAGAGGAGGCGGAGGGTGAAGTGACCGCGGATGCCTGCAGCAGCGCAGAACATGAAGAGGAGGATGAGGGACCACCTGCGCCCTCGCAAGTCCATGTGGAAGTGATAACCTCTAATGTAGAAACTATGATAAATCAGTACTTTACTGTGTCAAATTTACATCTGAGATGCCCCATTCACATGCTTCAGCTGGCAATCAAAGACTCTGTTAACGAGCACGACAACATTAATAGGCTGTTAGTGAAAGTCGGGCACCTGGTGAAAAGTGTACGCAAGTGCACCCTGAACACAAAGGAAACCGACCAATTAGGTGTCCGCCCCACAAATGCCTGCACCACTCGATGGAGCAGCCAGCTGCGGATGATTCAGTCGTTCATCCGGTTGTTCCAAAAAGACCCGTTATGGCAAAACAAACTCAAGTCTAAAGTTGCTAACATCACCCTGAATCAAGTACGGCAGCTGACGCACCTTGTCAGTGTGCTGACACCACTGGCAGACCTCATAGACAAACTGCAGAAGGAGCTGGGGAACCTGGGGATGATCCTCCCTGCTGTCACAGAAATCAAATCCCTGCTCACCGATGACACTCACGCTGCACTTCCAATGGGCATCGCTGCTTTTGCAGAAACATTGGCAAACAACGTGTCAATTCGCTATGGAATATACTATACTGATTAACATCTCATTTTAGCATCAGTGTAAGATCCCCGTTTCAAGACAGAATGGATAATCCGAGATGAGTCTGTATGCAACAAATTCGGGGAGATAAAGTAAGGCTGTGGTTTAAGGTAAAAGTGAAATACATGCAGATTTTGTTCCTTTTTTGGAGCGAGCGGGGGGGGCGATTTGAGTGGAGCGTGATGCAAACTGCGTTGATCGCTGAGCGATAATGAGTGGACTGGCCTGATGTGGCTTTGAGCGGGGGGAGCGGAGGGGTGAACAGCTCCGTGAGCAAGGAGCTGAGATTCTCACCACTCCACTCCGCTCATACGCTCTGGCCCATACCATAACCCCACTGTTCACAATGTTAACATCAGCACACCGCTCGCCCACACAACGCCATACATGTGGTCTGCGGTTGTGAGGCCGGTTGGACGTACTGCCAAATTCTCTAAAACAATGTTGGAGGCGGCTTATGGTAGAGAAATGAACATTAAATTATTTGGCAACAGCTCTGGTGGACATTCCTGCAGTCAGCATGCCAATTGCATGTGGCATTGTGTTGTGTGACAAAATTGCACATTTTAGAGTGGCCTTTTATTGTCCCCAGCACAAGGTGCACCTGTGTAATGATCATGCTGTTTAATCAGCTTCTTGATATGCCACACTTGTCAGGTGGATGGATTATCTTGCCAAATGACAAATGCTGACTAACAGGGATGTAAGCAAATGTGTGCACAACATTTGAGAGAAATAAGCTTTTTGTGCATATGGAATATTTCAGGGATCTTTTATTTCAGCTCATAAAACATGGGACCAACACTTTACATGTTGCTTTTATATTTTTGTTCAGTGTAATTTCGGTTCGAACCCCTAGTACATCTGCATAACAAACTGTGTACTGCAAGTTTGTGCTGATCCAGTGACCCACCACCACCCCATCCACCTCCTGTTCGAGTCACCCTCCAGACTTCCTGCACAATGGCGACCAGCTCAACCCTGGTAGGTTGGCCCTACCAGCAGGCTCGGTTCAATCACAGTTCACAACCGGGGGCTAGCCCTGCCAGAAGGCCAGCTAACAACCCCGATCTATGACTGGGGGCTGGCTTCCCCGACCACCATCCACGCCAAAATACCAAAATCTTAACTACTACTTAATCAGATGGCGAGAAGCCGAACTTGTGAAAGTGTTCATTTTTAATTGATGAGATGGCACATTATCTAAGGTAAGCCATGAATACTGCAACTAGCAAATGCATTGCGCTGTCACAATATTATATGGCCCAGTCTTGGAATCCTAGCTCTAAGAATCAGTCAAAAATAATTTAATGTATTTTAAATGATAATTCTCAATCTCATTATCAAATAAATGTATTTGTATACAAGCTTGTTTTTGAAAGTTATGAAACATTGTTTGCGTAGGGTTCCTCTTCTAAATTGAGCTTGAGTATTATAATTCACAGCCATCTTGACCAAAATAAATTAGATTAAGAGTAAACACAGAACTATGGATAAATAAATGTTACTCTACTAATATCGTGCATTACCTGTCTCAATAGCCAAAAACTGTTAGTGCCCTATTTCCAAGAAAATATAGAAAAATACAACTTTCATAGAAAAACTGAGAACAGGATTCTTAGTTAATTGTCCAAAAACAACTTGTAAAGATTCAACCTGCCTGAAATAAATGTATGTCACATGACCTTGTCTATCATGATAATAACCATTCATGTTTAGGTTATATGACATACCAAACAGAACACACTGTAGGGGAAATTTGGCACATGAGGAAAACATGTGCATATGGAACACCACACTGCAAAACAGTCAAGTCTGGTAAAAGACAATAGAAAAACTTGCAACGAGATTAAACATATTTGTAAGAGAGTAGAAGTTTGGACAGTGGTGATAGCTCACCTGTGTATTTGAACCCCTTTAATCTCAGTGATATTTTGATGAGTAAAATAGAAATAACTGGGCCTGAACTGTATGAAAACAAGTGTTAAGAGAGGATGGTGAGCTTACAGACCTCAAACAAAAATCTAAGGATCACAGGTAGGTGGCAGTATGCAAACATTTAGTTATGTTGCAATAGATAAAGCTTTTTTTTTCATTATATGTTTAGAATCTTCCTCCTTTGCTATAATATCTTTGCGAAAATTAGTCCTGGGTTTTGAATACTTGAGTCAGCCAATTATTCTTTCTGTCCTTTCAGCAGAGTGACCTGAAGATACAGTAGGGGGGATTCTCTAAAGCTGTGTGGTGATGGAGTCCTCCTGCTCAGCCCCCCACTCAGAGGAGTCCAGCTCGTCACAGGGTCCTATCCAGCCCTCAAACATGTCCTCACTAGAGCCCAGGAGGACAGCCCGGGAGCTGGAGGCCGTGATGCTGGAAGCACAGTGCAGGGTTGGCAGGGAGTGGCCTGGCGGCGGTAGGCAGTGGCCTGCCGGCCGCAGGAGCAGGCTGTCACTTCCGTTAGCCTGCTGGGGTGACTCCTGTGACAGGGCCTGGGGAGGGTCTTGGGCATGGGGTAGCTCGTTCAGGTTCACCCCCAGCTGGTCCAGGTGCACCTGGGGATTGGGTGGGATCTGGACGTCCGGCCAGGTTGTAGGCTGCCCAAGCAGGCCGTCTGAGATGCTGTAGGTGGGCTGGTGCATCCTGGGAGGAGGGGACCTGGGCTCTGGGACGTGTCCGTTCATGCGGGAGAAGAGCAGGCCCAGCCGCCTGATGGAGTCTCTCTTGGACTTGGAGAAGCGCTGCAGCCGGCCACCACTGCGGCTTAACGCAGCAGAGGACGGGGAGGAGGAGGAGAACCTGAGCCCGTTGCTCTTTGGTTTGTTGTCCACTGGCCCCTCCGCCCCTGACATGGACTTAAAGAGGGCGGAGAGGCTGAACCCAGAGTCCTTGCTCTTCCTCTCAGCGGTTGACACGCTGAAGGATACCCCCTTGGCCCCTTGGGCCCTGGACTGACCCTGGGCATGTCCAGCCCCTTCTTCCTCGTTGGCCTCGTCCTGCTGGGTAGCCTCACTGCTGGATGAGTAGGTCCTCCGTGGAGGCTTCCTGTTACCCAACAGGTCCAACACCTCGTAGCGGAAACTGGAGATGTCCTGCTTCAGCTCCTACAGATCAGTTAAGAGGGGGATAGAGGCGAAGGAGAGATCCACAATGAGGGACAGTTAGATATTGCTCAATGACTATGGAATATATACAGGCACATTTTGGGGATGAAAGTACATGACTTCTGAGATACCTACCTTAAAATTCTCCTCTGTCAGACCCTCGTCTGTCTTAGCACTGCGGATCATGGCTGCTACATACCTCTTCACTAGGTTCCTGATCACCTCCTACACACAGAAACACACAGCAGAGAAACAATCACATTAGATACACTACTGCAGTATGTCATGAATGCTGAAGTCATGGGCACATTCTAGAAACAACCATATTTTTCCTTGTAAGCTTTTTTTGTGGACTTGTACCTCCCTAAGGAGGAAATGATCTGAGATTTTGGGGAAAAGGCTCTTCCTTCCTTGCATGCATACATTTGCATTTTGTGTTTAATAAGGAAAAACTGTTTAGGCATATTCATGACATTTGTATTAGCTTGAGGTGAAAATCTGTCCGTACATAACTTTGCATTAATTTGCATGTTTAGGACACAATGGACCAATGGTTGAAATCAAACCAGCCTTTTTCTTTTACAGAATAATAATTTTGGGTAAAAATGTAATTCAATGAATTGTGGAGGAGGATATTTGTGGAGGTTCTTGTAGATTGAATCTAATAATTTGCACTGGAAGGGTAAGAGATACTTTTGTATATATAGTGTATGTGGACATCCCTTCAAATTAGTGGATTTGGTGGAGGAGGAATAATGGTCTGGGGCTGTTTTTCATGGTTCGGGCTAGGCCCCTTAGTTCCAGTGAAGGGAAATCTTAACGCTACAGCATACAATGACATTGTAGACGATTCTGTGCTTCCAATTTTGTGGCAACAGATTGGGGAAGGCCCTTTCCTGTTTCAGCATCACAATGCCCCCGTGCACAAAACGAGGTCCATACAGAAATGGTTTGTCGAGATCGGTGTGGAAGAACTTGACTGGCCTGCACAGAGCCCTGACCTCAATCACATCAAACACATTTGGGATGAATTGGAACGCCGACTGCAAGCCAGGCCTAATCTCCCAACATCAGTGCCCGACCTCACTAATGCTCTTGTGGCTAAATGGAAGCAAGTCCCCGCTGCAATGTTCCAACATCTAGTGGAAAGCCTTCCCAGAAGAGTGGAGGCTGTTATAGCAGCAAAGGGGGGACCAACTCCATATTAATGCCCATGATTTTGGAATGAGATGTTCGACGAGCAGGAGTCCACATACTTTTGGTCATATAGTGTATGTCTGCATACCACTCACCTCACCACATGCACTAAGAGTTGCCTCAGTGCACCCCTTTCTCTGATGGGTTCTGCCCTATTCCCCAAACTCATCCATTTGGAGCGGCAGCTGTATTCTTTGATACAGCATTTTCATTAGACATCGCAGGCTCCAGTCGATGCATTAGTCTGCTCGGTATAACAAATCAGCAGGGGAGCCCAGCAGCACAAGGCCTTAACTGGGGGAAATGGAGGAGAGGAGAGGAGGGCCGCCAAAGATTGAGCTAAAAGCCCACTGGGCACACACTGGTTGAATCAACGGTGATTCAACATCATCTGTCAACCTATTGTAACGTGGAATCTTCATATTAAATACAATGACTTAACCTGACTAACAAGTTGTTACATCAATCTAATTTTAACATAATCATCAGAACTATGTAAACATTGAAATTGTGTTAAATTCCACGTAGAAACTTTTAAAACCTTTTTCATCCTATATTCAATATATGTATATTGTTGGGTGGTTGAAAATATGTTGAATTTCATATTTGATTAGACATTTAATTTGACCGTATTTCAATGTTGATAGTAAAATGGTATGTTTGAATCAATGTCATTGTTTCAACAACCTAAATAAAGAGGTATATTGACATATAATGTTTAGACACAGTCCAATGATTCCTCCCTGAACAGCGACTCCTACTGGTATATGAGGGGTAATTAACTTCAGGGAGAACAAGTCTACCATCCTGATACATATCTCTATGTACCCTGCTTAGCTTTGGAAATAAGATGTGCTTGTTTCAGCTGAGCTATCATGTCAACACATTTAGACACTGATCAGCTTCCATACTCATTTGCATAGACTACCTAAATAACATTGAATAGTTGAAAGTCACTAACTTTTCTTACACTTGCTGTATGTGAAAGTAAATTCAGAGTGAGTTTTGGTTTATGTAGGTTACATTGACATCTGATTTGCCCAAAGGACACCATCATTTCAACGTGAAGCTAGGTATATTATCATTCATCCATTGTTGATTGGAACTTTAGAAGTTTAGAAGTTGTTACCATTAGCCTTTTACGTATTATGCTAAATTCACAATATTAATAATACAATTTTACCTTTGGATATTGTCTTTTATATGTGTTATTCATAATATATACTGTATATACTATCCAAACAGAAGACACGTCTCCTTCAAATGTTGATATTTGGTTGCGTTCACAATTAAATATCCAGTTTGTCTACAAATTAGTTATTGCTATGTTGGATTCACGTCTCCATCTCAACCAACAATCAAAGTTAAAGAATAGCACTTAATCGAATCAAACTTTTAATGCACTTCAAATAAAGTTTGATTTGATTTAGTTCTATTCTTCAACTTCGATTTTTGGCTGAGATGGAGACTTGAATCCAACATGAATTATTAACTTAGAAATTTGAAATCAACCAATCATCCTTCATATAAGAGACATTATCCAAATGTAAAAGTGTATTATTAATATCATGAATTTGGCATCCTATTTATAGGGCTAATGATACTTCTAAACTTCCAAAGATCCAATTAACCATGTATGAATACCATACATAGAATAGCATACATGTTGAAATGATGGTGTCCTTTGGGCAAATCAGATGTCAATGTAGCTTACATAGACCCAACCTCACTCCAAATGTACTTTCACATACAGCATGTGTAAAAAAAGTTAGTTAATTTCAACTAATCAATGTTATTTAGGGTGTCTACGCAAATGAGTATGGAAGCTGATCAATGTCTAAATGTGTTGACATGATAGCTCAGCTTAAACGAACACAGCATGTTTCTAAAGCCAAGCAGGGTACATAGAGGTAGGTATCTGGATGGTAGACTTGTTCTCCCAGAAGTGCATTACCCCTTATATACCAGTAGGAGTCACTGTTCAGGCAGGAATTGTTGGACTGTGGCTTCACATTTTATTTCAATATACCTCTTTATTTAGGTTGAAGGCATGACATTGAAACAATGCTGTTGATTTTTTACTATCAACATTGAAACAAGATCAAATAAAATATGTCTAATGAACTATAAAATACAACATAATTTCAACCACCCAATATACTGTATATTGAATATAGGATGAAAAAGATTTTTAACATTTCTATGCGGAATTTCAACATATACTGTACATAGTTCTGTGATTATGTTGAAATTAGATTGATGTCACAACCTGTTAGTCAAGTTAAGTTATTGTATTTAAGTTTAAGTTTTCCCTAATTTCAATGTTTAAATTAGATGAAAACAGTACTGGTTGATGACTTTTTTCAAATCCAAATGGGTTTTCCATTTAGATTCCATGTCACAATAGGTTGAGAAATGATGTTAAAACAACGTTGATTCAACTAGTGTGTGCCCATTGGGATATGTCTAGGATAAAAATAGAACCTGCCACCAAGTTCACCACCACCATGACGATGATAGATCCAGTAACTGACACCTGTCCCCCACTTTCCTAAAAGGTCAACAGTGTAATAATATATTCTAATACACATGTGCAGTACAAATGTCATTCATGCAGCTCAACAATGAGGCGTCAAGAGGGTGTATGTATGTTGTAACGGTTTTGACTTGAGGTATTTATAGGGGTGCCAGGTAGGTTGTGCCTACCAGAGAAAGCATGGGTCCCTCCTTTTAGTTCGGGAGGGAATGAGTCCCATCTGGTCCGTCAAGTCACACCAATACAAAGGACTTATGTAAAAGTCAAGATGGAAATATACTTTTCATAAACCCCTAAAAACCTTGGAAAGAACTTCAAACAAGTGTATTCCTTTGCTTGGTTGTATTCACAACATAAATGATCACACCCACCCACACACAACAATATAACAAATCAATGCACTTATGTTCATTTAGAAATGTCCTGTACCTCGGGCATAAAAAGAGTCCAGCCCGGTAAATAAGTTCCGTGGCTCAAGTGCCCTTAGTCCCGCAACGCTTGTCCGTAGCATAAACCCAGTATATTCATACACTCAAAATAACACTTATTTTGTAACACAACTATAAAGCGTATCAAAGACTACCCAAAGAATAATACGTCCTCACAACTACATAAATCACAGTATACATCACCCCAAACAAATGAAATACCGTATACAAAAAGTTGTAGTCAGTCGGTCAGTCAGACAATCCGCCAACAGCCCTCCAGCGGAGGAAAGGCCACGAAAACCAACGGAGAGTTGTAGTCCACAGACGCACAGAGTGGATCCAATCCTGGGTAAACTCGCTTTAAGGCCACAAAACACACTGTAAGGCAACCAAACAAACGTCATGGCGAAGCTTCATGAACTGAAGGTAGTACACATCCTCATTCAGGTCTCAATCACAACTTCTCTTTTGCGCAGCTGATGCTGGCTATTTAATGGGGAATTAAAGGGGAAGCGCCCTATTAGAAGGAGAAGCCTTGAGACGGTTCAGAAATATTCAGGGCCGTCACACACCCCCTCCCCTGGAAAAAGCCGACCATTGCCCGGGAAGGCAGATCTTGGTCGGGGGAAACCGAGAAAGGTCTCCTCATCACTTTCCTCTACAAAAATATTCATTACTTTTTGGCGCTCACGCTCCTCAGCTGAGGGGTCACAGGCATTAAGCCGTGAGACTTCTGGGTCTGGGAATCCGAGAAAAGTCTCCTTACTTTCCTCTTCAAAGATCTCCAGGACCTTGCGGCGCTCAATCTCCTCCAATTCCTCAGCCGAGGGGTAACAGGCCTTAAGGCGTGAGACATGGACAACGCGCATATCTTCACCTGTGTCCTCTTTCACCACTCGGTAGTTCAAAGGGCCCACCTGCTCCACAATCCTATATGGTCCTTGCCATTTAGGAGCGAGCTTGGCCGAGAAGAATTGTTCAGCTTTCGAGTAAGGATGAGAGCGAAGCCACACCCGATCACGAAGCTGGAACTGCAGGTCTCGTCTGTTCTTATCATAATTTCTCTTCTGCTTGAGTCGAGCCTGGATCATGTTCCTTGAGACAAGAGCTCTCAAGTCGTGGAGATGGACTACCTGGTCATAGCAAGCAGCGTCTGGAGTAAGCTGCTGGGGCTGTAGCCCCATATCCAAGGGTCCTCGGAGGAGACGACTTAGGTTCAGCTCTGCAGGTGTGACTCCAGTGGACTCTTGCACAGCAGAATTCAGGGCAAATCGAAACTCGTGAAGGTGCGTGTCCCAGTGTTTGTGCTGGGTCCCTACATAGGAAGCAACCATGGTCTTCAAGGTTCGATTTACTCTCTCAGTGAGGTTGGTCTGTGGGTGATAGGCTGTGGTCAACTTCTGTCTCAGGTTCCATCTTTGGCAGGTCTCTCCAAAGAGATCAGAGACAAATTGGGAACCTCGATCAGACAGAATGTAATCAGGCACTCCCCAGCGAGTCAGGATCTCTCTCGTAAGGATGTTAGAGACGGTCCTCGCTGTGGCCTGACGCAGGGCAAAGAGCTCAACCCACTTGGAATAGTAATCAACAAAAACAAGCATGTACACATTCTGATTGGAGCTTCTAGGAAATGGACCCATCAAATCCACTCCTAACATTTCCCAAGGTCGGGTAACCACAGTTTGCTGCAACTTGCCAGCAGGTTTTCTACCTTCTGGTTTGTACATTTGACAAACCTGACATTTTCGGATATGTGATTTCACATCCATGCTCAGATGTGGCCAGTACAGTAATGCTTGCAAACGTTTGTAGGTTTTGAACCTGCCCAAATGACCAGCTAATGGGTCTTCATGGAAATGTTGAAGCAGTTGAAGGCGTAGAGTTTCAGGTATGTATATTTGGTAGAGTATTCTGTGAGGTAGTTGTACAACTCGGTAGACTTTGTCTTCAATGATGGTCATCTTTGTGGTAGGGTTGACCATCTTTTCTTCATCTTCCAGGATAGTCTGGTACAAAGCCTGTACTTCGGGATCATCCTGTTGGGCTTTCCAAATGACCTCATCAGAGATGGGAAAGTCAGTTTTGGGTGAGTCTCGACTGCTAGACAGGACAGTAGCACATGTAAGATGAGGGCCACCATTACCACAAGCAGGAGCTCTGGATAAGGCATCTGGAACAGTGTTGTATTTTCCTTTCCTGTATTCTACTGCAAAGGTGAACTCTTGCAACCGTAGAGCCCATCTGATGAGCCTGGTGCTTGGTTTGTTGGTCTTGAACACCCACACAAGGGAGGAATGGTCAGTGACCACAGTGAAGTGTCTTCCCTCCAGGTAGTACCTCCACTTTTCCAAAGCCCAGACAACTGCAAGGCACTCTTGCTCGGTTGTGGAGTAGTTCCGTTCTGCTCCATTCAATGTCCGACTGGCGAACGCTAGCACTTCTTCAGTACCAAGTCTAGTCTGTTGGACTAGGACAGCACCAAGTCCAACATCACTTGCATCAGTGTAAACAACAAAAGGGAAATCAAAGTTGGGATGACCCAAAATGGGAGGGGTGACGAGGTGTCGTTTCAGGGTTTCAAAGGAGTTCTGGCACTCTGCCGTCCATCGGAATTTCGCTCCTTTTCGCTTCAACCCGTTGAGGGGTTCTGCCACCTGGGAGAAGTTCCACACAAACCGATGGTACCATCCCGCCATCCCAAGGAACCGTTGAAGGGCCTTGAGTGTGGTTGGCACAGGGAAGTCTTGTACAGCCTTGGTCTTTTCAGGATCCACATGAATACCATCACAAGACACAATATGGCCAAGGAACTTCAGGGAGGTTTGGCAGAAGTTGCTCTTCTTCATGTTCACTGTCAGACCAGCTTCTCTTAGCTTGTCCAACACTGCTTGAAGGTCTTGAAAGTGTTGCTCTCTGTTCTGGGAGTAGATAATTATATCGTCCAGGTAGACGAAACATATCTTCCCTTTGAGCTCACCTAACGCAATCTCCATGAGTCTTTGGAAAGTGGCAGGTGCATTCTTTAATCCAAAAGGCATCACCTTAAAGGAAAACAAGCCCTCAGCACAGACAAAAGCAGTCTTGTCCTTGCTTTCCTGGTCCATCTCAACCTGCCAATAGCCACTATTGAGGTCAAGGGTAGTGAACACAACAGCGCCAGACAATGACTCCAGGATCTCGTGGATGGTGGGAAGAGGATAGGCATCAGTCTGGGAAACATTGTTGGTCTTCCTATAGTCCACACAAAATCTAAGACCACCGGTCTTTTTTGGAATGAGGACAACAGGAGCAGCCCAGGGAGAGGAGGAACGTTCTATTATATCTTGTGTCAACATATCATTAATGAGTCCCTTTTGGATGATTAGCTTCGCTGGGGACAAACGATATGGCTTTTGCTTGATCGGCATTTCCTGTGTAAGGAATATTTTGTGCTTCAGGAGTCCGGTGCGTCCTAACTTTGAAGTACACACATCAGCATTATTCTGCAGCTGTTCCAACAGCCTTAACTCCTCTGGCTGTTCCAGCTGAGCTCTTCTTACAGCCTGTAAAAGGAGATCCTCAGAAGGATTATCCAGGGTTAGTGGTACCGTAGCAACGGCAGAGAAGACTGCCACATTTAGACCCCAATCATGTAACTTTGTAACTTCTGATTGGAAGAAATGCTTCTTGCTCGGATTGTTTGGAAACCAGTAGCAATTGTGTGCGATATCAATCTGGACACCACTGAAGTACATGAAATCAATTCCCAACACGACAGGAAAAGCAAGGTTCTTGTTTTGTAGGATAACCGAAGGAATCATATAGGAGCGGTTACACAGGCGGAATTCCACCTCACTCCATCCAAGTGGTCGTTTAGCCGCACCGTCAGCCAGATACAGTGGACCTTCTGTCCACGGCTTCAAGTTGTATTTTGGACCTTCAACCTCCTTCCACAGTTTCTCATTGAGCAGTGTGTAGGATGACCCGGTGTCCAGGATGGCTCTTCCTGTCCATGAGCCTATGGACAGGGGTAACACCAGCTGGTGTGGTATTAACTGGAAGGAAGGGGATGTCGGCGGGGGGGCGTAGGCAGTGACTCTTGAGGTTTCAGCTCTGGTCAAAGCACCCAGAGTAGGATGGTCGTTCCTGCGAAGTGTGTTAGGGGTGTTGGCCTGTTGTAATTTGTGGTTTCTGGAAGGGTTTACTTGATACGGTCTTGGGCATGTAGCTGAAGAATGTCCCTTTTGGCTACATCTCCAACAGAACATGGGAGGGGTCTTGGCTGGAGACTCTGGCTGTGGTTGATGATCTGTCTTGGGTAACTGTCTGGGTGTCTGTTTCTTTCTCTGTTCATATTGCTGTTGGCATTCTCTGTCCTTCTCGAACTGCTGTCCCAGGCGAACCAGTCCATCGACAGTGGTGACTCTTTCTCTGAGTTGACTGGCTAGTAGTGGGTTGATGTTCTTCAAGATCAACTTAATGACCTCTTCCTCCTCAATGCCAGGTTTCCACCTTCTGCACAGGGAGTGATAACCGTATGCAAAGTCACGAATATTCTCATTCTCCCTTTGCACTCGATTCCTGACTCTGTCTGCCAGCTCATCTGTGTAGTCCTCAGACAGAAATGCAGAGGAAAACTTGGCCTCAAAGTCAGCCCAGGAGGTAGTGGTGAGACGTGCCACATCCCACCAGTCTCGAGCTGTCCCATGCAACACATTCCTCAATGTGGCAAGGAGTTCTTCGTCAGCCAGGGGATTGAGGGCAAGAAAGTCATGACATCTTTCCAGATACATTAGCGGATCAGGACTGTCATCCTTTTTCCCAAAGGTGGGAAATTGCAATTTAATGGGCATCGCTCCCACATGACGTCTACTCAAATCACCATGAACAAAAGAGCTAGGAGGGATTGAGGAAGTAGAGGGTGAGGGAGTTATGGGACCATGAAAATGAACACCAGGATGCATGGTGGATTGCATCCTGCAAGGGGTGGCTGCAACATGGCCTTGTCTTGGCTGTTCTGAGGTGCCCGCCTGGCCCTCAGTGGTCTGAACAGAAGTGGACACAAGAGAAGCTCTGTGCAAGGAGTTGTGCCTAATGGAGGCCATGTCAACAGACACATCATCCAACATTTTAACACAATTAGAGAGCGCTGTCTGCAAGTGGTCTACAGTGTTAACCAGGGGAGAAAATACCGAATTGACGTCCTTGAGGACCTCAGTGTGATGATGTTGCAGGCGCCACTGGAGAGTGGCAGTGAGTTGGCTTTGTTGGTAGTCAAACTGCCTGTCCATGGCACCAGTAATTTCCTGTCTTCCACTCTCACTGAGCTCTGTCAGAGTGTGAGTTAGAGTACTCAGTGAGTTTCTGAATTCATTGGCACTCTGTTGTTGCTCTACACTCAGACATTTGAATTTATGATGGATTAGAGTTTGGAGATGTTGTTGAGTCTTACGAATATCAAGGATGTCACCTTGAAGTTGTAAGACTACTACCTCTGGAGATAAACCAGACAATAGAGGAAGAGTGGGCGTCAGAGGGAGGGCTAGCTCAGTACCTTCACACAGATCCATGTCAATAAGTGAGTTACTAGTTAGACCTGTGGCCTGTGGTCCAGACCGAGCATTTAGATTCCCAGGGCTCTGGCCCACATCAACTCCATTATTTCCATTCACATTATGATTTGTATTGTTGGCTCGGTAGTCAGAATGGCCCTGTGTATTCCCATTGACAGGTAGGATATGGATGAGCACATTTTCTTGTAGTGAATCCATTATTTTAATTCCACTCAAAAGATTTGCTTTGGTTATTTCTCAATGTTGAAGTCCCATCTGGGGTGCCATTTTTTATGTAACGGTTTTGACTTGAGGTATTTATAGGGGTGCCAGGTAGGTTGTGCCTACCAGAGAAAGCATGGGTCCCTCCTTTTAGTTCGGGAGGGAATGAGTCCCATCTGGTCCGTCAAGTCACACCAATACAAAGGACTTATGTAAAAGTAAAGATGGAAATATACTTTTCATAAACCCCTAAAAACCTTGGAAAGAACTTCAAACAAGTGTATTCCTTTGCTTGGTTGTATTCACAACATAAATGATCACACCCACCCACACACAACAATATAACAAATCAATGCACTTATGTTCATTTAGAAATGTCCTGTACCTCGGGCATAAAAAGAGTCCAGCCCGGTAAATAAGTTCCGTGGCTCAAGTGCCCTTAGTCCCGCAACGCTTGTCCGTAGCATAAACCCAGTATATTCATACACTCAAAATAACACTTATTTTGTAACACAACTATAAAGCGTATCAAAGACTACCCAAAGAATAATACGTCCTCACAACTACATAAATCACAGTATACATCACCCCAAACAAATGAAATACCGTATACAAAAAGTTGTAGTCAGTCGGTCAGTCAGACAATCCGCCAACAGCCCTCCAGCGGAGGAAAGGCCACGAAAACCAACGGAGAGTTGTAGTCCACAGACGCACAGAGTGGATCCAATCCTGGGTAAACTCGCTTTAAGGCCACAAAACACACTGTAAGGCAACCAAACAAACGTCATGGCGAAGCTTCATGAACTGAAGGTAGTACACATCCTCATTCAGGTCTCAATCACAACTTCTCTTTTGCGCAGCTGATGCTGGCTATTTAATGGGGAATTAAAGGGGAAGCGCCCTATTAGAAGGAGAAGCCTTGAGACGGTTCAGAAATATTCAGGGCCGTCACAATGTGTGTGTGTGTGTGTGTGTGTGTGTATAGACATGCACACACTCTTTTCCATGGTTGTTATGATAGCTGCTTTTTACCTGATAATGCTGGTTCTGAATCAGGTTGTCAGCATGACGCTCCTAGAACAAAATGAAAAGTAGAAGAATGAAACTACTTTTTTCATGTGCAGAATTTATATTAACCGCACAAACATATTAGTATCACTACTACTACTACTACTACTTTGCTTTATCTTGGCCAGGTCGCAGTTGTAAATGAGAACTTGTTCTCAACTGGCTTACCTGGTTAAATAAAGGTGAAATAAATAAATAAAATAAACTGGTTTCTCTGCTGCTGCATGTTACAGTTGTACTGTGAGAGCGACGCAATACACATATTCTAAACAGTGGTTAAAGCGCTAAGGAATTTAAGGTTCAAAAGTATTTGGACAGTAACATTTGTTTTTGTTTTGGATCTGTACTCCAGCACTTTGGATTTGAAATGATACAATAAATATGACGTTGAAGTGCATACTGTCAGCTTTCATTTGAGGGTATTTTCATCCATATCAGGTGAACCGTTTAGACATTACTGCACTATTTGTATATAGTCCCACCATTTTAGGGGACCAAAAGTATTTGGACAAATTCACTTAAATGTGTATTTGGTCCCATATTCCTAGCACGCAATAATTACATCATACTTGTGACTCTACAAACTTGCTGGATGCATGCATTTGCTATATGTTTTGGTTGTGTTTCAGATAATTTTGTGACCAATTGAAATGAATAGTAAATCATGTATTGTGTCATTCAGCAGTCACTTTTATTGTAAACAATATATTATGTGTTTCTAAACACTTCTACATTAATGTGGATGCAACCACGACTACAGATTAATCATGAATGAATCTTGAATAATGATGTGTGAGAAAGTTAGAGAGGCAAAAATATCGCACCAATATAAAGATCATTTCAGGCTTTGTTCCGCTATATTTTCTCCTCTTCAAACCACACTACTGAACCAAAAGGGTGCATAGGCGTTATTATCCAACATTATATCCCAAAACATGTCTGCTGTGTTTGGTGAGTGGGTGAAGGTAACGTGGAGTCCTATGTGTTAGCAGGAGTGTGGAGTAGAACAGTGGAACGGTAGAACAGGTGATTGCTGCTGGCAGAGGAGAGAAGTTCAGCTGACTAGGAGACATCCAGGGAATTTGGTGCCTGAGGAAGGGTTGCTTGGCAACATGTGCCTGCCCACTGCAGCTGGACAAGCAGGATATGCAGCCCCTTGTCAGTAACTTCACAGCTGGGGGAAACTGATAGCCCTAACACTATTCTCAAGTTCTCCATAACATTTACAGGCAAGGATCCCATAAAAGGTATACTGTTTGGTCATTATATAGAAATAGAGGAGCAAGGTAATGATTGTACTAAACCAATCTCACGTCTTTTACTGATATGACACAGCAAAAGGAAACATCCAGGTGAGAATGTAGTGAATGTGTGTACACTGTATACTACATTGATTGTACAAGTTTGTAAATGTTGTACCGTGAACTCCTTTAAGTTCTCGTGTTTCCTCGGGTCGTCAGGACTGGGCTGGTCCCCTCCACACAGGCGGTTGTGCATCCACACACACAGGTACCACACTGACTTGGGGCTGGGAACGATGTTGAAGGGCGGAGGGAGAGTTCCTCCCTCGTCAAAATAACTCATCCACAACTTGGTGCGGGCAAACTTCCATTCAATGTCCGCATGGTCCTGTACAAGGGCATTTAGATATTAAAGGAGGGCTGCACCATCAGAAATAAATCTCTTTTACATCATATGTGATCATCTTTACTATCACTGAGTGTGATGAAAAACCCATTTAATAGCAGGGCTAAAATAACATTTTAACTGCTTTAAATAAATTGTTTCCTTATCATGTCTTCCCTTTTCCATAGATGTGCCTTCGGCAATGCGCTGTTCTCTGATGGGAGAGATGGGGGTTGGTTGGTGGATTGTAGGATCTGTGTGGGTGTGTGTGGTGTGTGTGCATTTTCATAAAGCTCCCAGGGAGTGTGATACATGGGCGGAAGGCCCTCTACCACCGGCTTACATCAGCTCTCGCAGAAAGGTTACATGGAGGAAAATAAACTGATATAAATGTCTCTGTGTGATGCCTGCAGCACCACAACAACAAACTCTCTAAGATGCATGATCTGCCTTCATGATCTGCAACATATTTTATGACAATGACTCATTCTGGTTCATATTCCTGCTGAGATGGAGAGACACTTTGCATAACTTCTTGAGATCAACTGCAAGAGCCACTTGATCGTTATGCAGCAGAAGCAGTGATCATCATTTGTCTGTCTATACCCATAAGCACCAGCAAGAACTCCACGAAAAAGATGGGAAGGTCCATGTGAGTTCCCCTGATAAAGGAGCTAGCAGACAGCTGAGAGAGCTGGATAGAGAGAAACGATATGACGTGACTCACAGCGATGAGCTGATAGGAGTTGTTCATCATGGCGATGAGCATGTTGAGCAGCACCACCAGGGAGATAACGTTGTAGGTACCGAACATGGTTGCTCCCACAAACTCTGTGAACTCATGGCGTGCTTTCACGTTGGTCACGTACAGGTTGAGCAGGCCGAATATCGACCAGAACAGGGATTGCAACGTCTCAAACAGCCTGGGAAAGAACAAGATACACAGATACTTTTTTTGAAAGCCAAACTGATATTTTGCCTTACAGTTACTCAATGTGCTATTAAAACCTATAAAACAGATGGAGGCGAGAGATGCAAACCGCTCAGTCTCCAAAATGACTCAGGGGCTGGAGGAAGCAGATGAGATTTAGTACACTGCAGTATCTTTTATTCATTACGGGACAGGGAGAGGATTATGTGCACACTGTAGGTATCTGTGTGAAACCTCGGAACACAAGAAAAAGTGCTTTTCAATTGCAATAGGTATTGGAGTATAAGACCCTGTTTAGTACCTGACACCTATTCCTGCTCCTATTCCAAACCTGCCACCCTCTTCCCGAACGATTCTGTCAATTCACATCTCTTCATGCTCTCTCTGTTCCCCTCCCAATTTCTTTAAAGCTCCTTCCTTTCCTCTACCTCTTCACTCCCCTCCTTGTCTCAGAAGGTATTCATCTCATTCATCTCTCTATACGTTCTTCTTTCTCTGTTTATCCAAACCCTCCTTTTGTCATTACACAGTATTTCTAGGACAAGGGCCCTCAGATGACTCACGTAGAGAAGGCATTGTTCTGCTTCTCACAGCGGATGCCCTTGCAGTTATTGGGTTCGTCCGAGGCCTTGGTCTCATAGTAGAAGTACAGCTGGTTGAGTCCGTTGGCAAAGGCCAACAGCACCAGGCAGTAGATGAAGAGGAACTTGAGGATGTCCAGCAGCATGCGTCCCAGGGAGATCTGCAGAGGCCCCAGGTGGGAGTTGGCTGTGAACAGGGAGATGAGGCGCAGGGAGCTGAAGATGTTGGCGATAGCAAACAGGCCCTCAGCGATCAGCGTTGGGTGCCACATCTCCCACTCCTCCCGCGGCCGAGAGCTGTTGTACTGTTGTTGAAACAGAGAGAGGTAGAGAGAGGGCTGTTAGCTACCTGCCAGAAGGCCATGGTTATCATTTTGCAATGTGTACGTGGGCAAAAATAAATAGACAGGAATTTCTTAGCCCTCAAAATATCATCAACTCATCTTGAAAAGATAAACGTGTGACTTACCTTGAAGTAAGCAACTATTTTGAGTGAGATAGTGGCCAAGTAGAGGGAGTTCATGGCAAAGTCCATCAGGTTCCACCAGTCATGGACGTACTCAGTGAAGCCTCCGTCCCACATCTCCTTTATCTCAGCCCAGATGAAGCCTGAAGGGCAAACAGGCGTCAGTCAGTAAGACACATGGCATTGCACACTACGATTAATGTCACCTGTCATGATAGTTTTTCTATCAGAACAACTAGTCCAAATCAGAAACCGATTAACGGCAGCAAATACAGCATTGTATTTCTCAATATCCACCCAATTACCAGTTAGAACCTGTTTGAGTGGATTATAACGATAAGGCCCGTGTGTAATCATGAAAAAAGGTACGACACTGACCGTTAAGGATATCTCTCTAGCCCTCCTCCTCTTTACAGTGGTGGATTCTATAGAACCTCCCCCGTCACTGCCTGCCACCCCACCCCCCTGCTCACCCAGCACCCAGGGAAGGATCATCCACTCCACCACGGTTGGCGGCGGGCCCTGGACGTGCAGGTCTGTTCTCACGATGTGCTGGGAGGCCAGGAGTAGGAGGAAAAGGAATGTCAGGTAGGAGGCTGTGTGGCAGATGAACTTGATGAAGGGTTTCTTGATGAAGAGGCCCAGGGTGCTCTTAGGGGCCAGCAGATAGACCAGGGAGAAGATGGGGAAGAGCAGGCCAATGGTGAAGCAGGTGACCAGCTTGACCGCCCAGTGGCGTCTGCGCCACCCCGGGAAACCGTCGTACCACAGGGTGGCCAGGAGCTGCTGGCAGTTTGGCTGGGACACAAACTGGAGAGGAAGAGAGTAACAGAGATAGCGGGAAGCGCATTGATAAGGCAAATCAAAACAACAGTATCACACTTGGCCAGTACTATACAGGGTGATACTCGACCTATGTCACAACTCTCCTGTCTTGGCAATAGATAACAGTAACACTCCAGCCAACATGTTTAAAATGGTAAAATGATTAGATCAACAAATAGAATAGAAGTGCCTGGGGTAAGACTACCATGGTGGATATTGTAAACATCTCAAATATGCTTATTCCATATAGTGCTTCAGATATAAAGTTGATGTGTACTACAGATCATAAAGTCCCAGGCTCTTGCCAACTTCCATGCAGTAAAACTAACTTCCCAGTGTAAGTGCCCGGAGCTATGCTTCCACAGATGACCCCTGAGGTTGGCACAGCGGCACAGCAGCACAGCTTAGATCCCCCAAAATACCCAAACAAACAGCCCTGCCAGCTGCACATGGAATACAACAGAACAATACCCAAACGAACATCCCTGCCAGCTGCACATGGGATACAACGGAACAAAACCCAAACTAACAGCCCTGCCAGCTGCACATGGAATACAACGGAACAAACATCCCTGCCAGCTGCACATGGAATACAACGGAACAAAACCCAAACTAACAGCCCTGCCAGCTGCACATGGAATACAACGGAACAAAACCCAAACTAACAGCCCTGCCAGCTGCACATGGAATACAAAGGAAAAAAATAAAAAATAACAGCCCTGCCAGCTGCACATGGAATACAACGGAACAAACAGCCCTGCCAGCTGCACATGGAATACAACGGAACAAAACCCAAACTAACAGCCCTGCCAGCTGCACATGGAATACAACTGAACAAAACCCAAACTAACAGCCCTGCCAGCTGCACATGGAATACAACGGAACAAACAGCCCTGCCAGCTGCACATGGAATACAACGGAACAAAACCCAAACTAACAGCCCTGCCAGCTGCACATGGAATACAACGGAACAATACCCAAACTAACAGCCCTGCCAGCTGCACATGGAATACAACGGAACAAACAGCCCTGCCAGCTGCACATGGAATACAACGGAACAAAACCCAAACTAACAGCCCTGCCAGCTGCACATGGAATACAACGGAACAAACAGCCCTGCCAGCTGCACATGGAATACAACGGAACAAAACCCAAACTAACAGCCCTGCCAGCTGCACATGGAATACAACGGAACAAAACCCAAACTAACAGCCCTGCCAGCTGCACATGGAATACAACGGAACAAAACCCAAACTAACAGCCCTGCCAGCTGCACATGGAATACAACGGAACAAAACCCAAACCAACAGCCATGCCAGCTGCACATGGAATACAATGGAACAAACAGCCCTGCCAGCTGCACATGGAATACAACGGAACAAAACCCAAACTAACAGCCCTGCCAGCTGCACATGGAATAGAACGGAACAAAACCCAAACTAACAGCCCTGCCAGCTGCACATGGAATACAACGGAACAAAACCCAAACTAACAGCCCTGCCAGCTGCACATGGAATACAACGGAACAAAACCCAAACTAACAGCCCTGCCAGCTGCACATGGAATACAACGGAACAAAACCCAAACCAACAGCCATGCCAGCTGCACATGGAATACAACGGAACAAACAGCCCTGCCAGCTGCACATGGAATACAATTGAACAAAACCCAAACTAACAGCCCTGCCAGCTGCACATGGAATACAACTGAACAAACAGCCCTGCCAGCTGCACATGGAATACAGCCGTGTGCAGAACTACTTGCTGTAGTTTGTATATCTGATATCTGATATGTTATAAGCAGCATTGGCTTGCTCATACAGTAGTACTGATAACAGGCTTGTTTAGGATAGTTTACTGTATCACAAATTCATCAAGACAAGATGCATCTATAACCCATCTATAAACTCATCTATAACCCATCTATAAACTCATCTATAACCCATCTATAAACTCATCTCTAACCCATCTACATTAACTCATCTACATAAACCATCTATAAACTCATATATAGCTCATACATAACCCATCTATAACCCATCTACGACCTATAACCCTTATATTTGTCAGAGTTAAGAATGAAGAACCTCAACTTACTTCGAAAGTATGAAAACATCCCTATTTATTTGACAAAATAAGAATTCTGTATTATTTAGCTCCTCCTACTGTTCCATTGTTCTGTGTTCCTCTATCTATTATTGAAAGTCACCTGGGATGAAATAATCAAATATTATTGTACACATGGTGTTACTTTGGAGTCTCCTGTCAGACCACAAACAGAAAAGGTAGACGTAGACATTCAAATCCCTGGAGAGGGGATCCTGAGGGACCACTGAAAAGATAACCTAGGAATTCTTTGTGAAGAGCGCTTCCCTCTGCCATTTCTGAAGGTAAAGGGTATGAATAAATTACATGAGCTTTCCGGATAATAAATAAATAAAAGGTGGGTCTGTGCATAAATGCCTGTGTGATTGTTGAAGCATACGGATGAGGGACCAACGACAGGCTTTTAACTACTTTACCAACTGTGGCATGCAATTGGACAACCAGTTCTAGCAGAGCAGCTGATTTTATCAAGCCCAAACAGTAGTTCCCCCTCCTCCCTGATTTGTGAATATTTGATGCGTATGCTGAATTAGACTAGTTTAACCCTACTGACCTCTCCCCTCCCCCATGTCGCCCGCCGCCATATCCCCGGACTCCATGTCCCCCGCTCGCTCTCTGACAACCAGGCCCTCAACTTCCATGTGACGGTGCTGTCCTGTTCTGCACAGAATCTCTATGCATCTCTACAAACATACTATCTCTAGAATGATTGCTGTTTTGAACAAGGTAACTTTAGCCAATCATAAGATATCCTAATACTGACTGAACTGAGAGTGTTGTTGACTATAGTGGTCTGAGGATGAAGGATGAAAGAGCTGTACTTGCTGACCGAGCCATGATTATTCTACCTGGCCTTTTCCTCAGTTCGGTTGGTTAGGTTCTCTGAACAGCCCCGCAGAGCTGAAGAACACTTTGAGTTTATTACAGTGCAGGAAAAGATGGAGTATTCAGCTCACAACAAAGGAGCAGCCAAATGCCAGCATTCAAATCAAGAGGAAGATGAAAGGAGTGTGTGTGTGTGTGTGTGTGTGTGCACAAATGTGTGCTATTGTGCGTGCGCACACGTATGGGAGTGTGTGTTTGTGAGAGTGTGCGTCAGACATTTTTACATTTACATTTTAGTCATTTAGCAGACACTCTTATCCAGAGCGATTTACAGTTAGTGCATACATAATTTTTTTTATACCCCCTGTGGGAGGGAGAAAAAATTAAGAAAAAGACAGCAAGAAACATGCCAAATGTATTTTATATGAGCGAAAAGGAGCAATGGAATGGAAGAATTCTCAGTAGGACAGTAGACTGTGATTGGACCCCTTTTAGGTGGCAATGAGCGAGAACACAAGCCACCTGATCACCCAAGCTCTCGACCTGCCTGTTTCTCTCACTTCATTGACACTAAATGCTGCCCTCAGTTCACCTCTAACCCTCTCAGAAAGATCTCAACACCACTAAGACCAGTTGTGACTCACTTCTGGACTGGGAGACAAGTGGTTAATTTGAGTCGTGATTGGTGATGTTTTTATTGGATTGTTTGAACCAGAGATGAAAGAGGAAGCGAGACATCCTAATCCCTAATTTATTCTGGCTCAATGGAAGTCAATTAACTAAGCAGACCAGACCAAGCTGCTATCTCATTGGTGTCTATGGGAGAGCCACCCAGTTAAGAAGACCGGAACTGACAATGTTTTTCAATGTAAAACGGCCTGAGTGAACTATCTTCGTTTATCCACCATCTTTGGTTTGAACTGTGATTGCAGTTGCTAATTGTCTATTGCTCTGATTGGTTTCAGGTGTGCCTCTCCTGGGGTTTAAAAGAGCTGTGTATTTCCTGCTCTGGCAAATTGAGGGAACGACGGGGGCCTTTTCTCAATTGGTTTGCTCAACTCCTGCGTCCTCTCTCCTCCAACCTCTCTCGCCTCCTTTTGAAAAAGCTCAAAGGAAATCGAGGAGAGGCGGCGAGGAGAGGGAACGTGGACAAAAACGCGCTTGTATGAAATAAGACTCTCCTTCTCCACTCGCGCATCATCAGGCAAATGACGTTTACAGGGGTGGATCCCAAAATAAATGTGTTAAAAACAAATTAAGTTAGTAGGGCAAGACATTTTATAGATAAAACAATAAGTAGCATTTTGCCATGGCTTATGCCATATGATATCTGGGGAATTACAGGTTATTAGCTGCTGTAAAATGTTATTGTTATTCATTTTTGGGGACCCGTGGGCCCACCTGCCTGGGGGGGGGGGGGGGGGGGGGGTTACGCCAGTGTTCACTATACTAGACCCCTTCTGCTCGGCCCTCTCACCTCACCTCTTTCTGGTGGTACTTGATGGCCAGTTTGAGCTTGGCCAGGTCGCGGCAGTCCTGTGGGTCCAGCTCCTCGCTGAGGTCGTCGCGGTGGTTGAGGATGGTCTCCAGCTCTCTGGAGCTCCTGGCCTGGTCCAGCAGGTCCTTGGCAAACAGCTTACACTGCTGGGACAACTCCTCGTACTCCTGACGGAACTCATTCTCCACCTGGAAGAGTAATAAACTTGTTATAAACCCTTTATAAACCATGCTGGGACAACTCCTGGTAATCCTGACGGAACTCATTCTCCACCTTGCTTAGCTCCTTCAGCTCCCAGCCCAGGCGGAAGGCGGTCAGGATGGGGTCCTCGCTGGACAGGGCAATGAGGGATGGGCTGGCCAGGGTCTTGTAGACGTTGAGGCGGGAGCGTGAGTGACGCAGGCTGTCCACCTCGGAGCTGGACACACAGGCCACGCAGTCGCAGCGGATCTGGTGGGGCCGGGGGATGGTCACCTTGCGCTGGACCAGCAGCTTGATAATCTCATAGTTGTTGGTGTGAGCTGCCAGCATGATGGGTGTGATGTCAGGGGTAAACTCTGAGAACTGGGTATCCATCATCAGGTTGGGCACCTGGAGAAGAGAACATCGGGTTGGGGAGGAGAGGGAGTACTGAGTGGGCCCAGGCAAGAGCAGAACCTGTATAACTTACATAACATGTACATAACCTGTCTAACATATATATAATATGTACATATCCTGTCTGTCACATCATGCTTATTGAGCTACAATAAGGACATTCTACGCCCACTAGCTGAAATGTACCCCTGATATACCTAATGTCCTCCTTACCTGTTTCTCTCTGCTGGACCTGCGATGGGACAGCAGCAACTCCACGGCCCCCACCACCTCCTTGCGGATGGCGTAGAGCAGCGCGTCGCCCACGTGCACGCCGTGGTTGAGCAGCAGCTCCATCACCTCCAGGTTCTCGTTCTCGATGGCAATGAGCAGCCCGCTGCGCCCCAGCGGGTCCAGGCAGTTCACATTGATGTTGTAGTAGATCTCTGCCTCCTGTAGTGCCAGCTTCACCCCGGCATAGTCGCCCTTCTCCACCGCCGTCAGGTACGCCCGCTCCTCCGCTGACAACTCTGCTTCCGCCCGCACGATCTGCAACGGGATGCGGTCGCGGTACGGCGAATAGCTCGCCTTCTTGTAGTACAGCTGGGCCATGGGATTCATCATGTGGACACGGTCAGTGTACACGGTCACTCACAACCTACTGGGGAATTGGAATCTGGGGCGAAACAAAAACAGCATGGGTTATTGTTTCGTTCTCCACAAATTACACATGGATCTAGTGTTGATAGTATAATGGTGTTGACTTGCCAAATTAACAGCACAGTGAGGAACTTGGACTTCTATTATATTTGCATGACAATAGAGGGTCCCACTCCTGTTCCAAGCATGCTATTGGACCCATATTAATTCTGTCATTTCTTCAGCCTCCTCCTTTGATGTCACTCCACACAGCTGAATGTATTTGTAGGATAAATATTGGATGGGGTTCTCTGTTTGATCACTGAAAGCAGAGGGGTTTTTTTTCTTCAGGAAACTGACAGCAGAGGGGAAGAAAACCATAGGTGGCAGAGTTAGTAGAGCCCCTCTGCCACCCCACCGCCACCCCAACATCACCCTGGTTCTCATTAACCACCCAGCCAGAGCCAATGCTGTGGTCCCACACAGCCCTGCAGGGCCTGCCGTCTCTGGGGATCCACTCACACACAGCCAGGGAGACACATCCATATTCATGGCACCACATGGGGAGGGAGTGGAGGCCTGAGGGTAGAGGACTGCGCTGATTCCATGCCAAATACACCATGGATGGAAGGGAAGTTAGAGACGGGTGGTGATGGAGAGAAACTGACATGAGGAGTGTGCTTGCTTTTCCCTCAGCCTGGTCTTGCATGAGTGAGCCCCCTGCTTCAGGGGCTCTGCAGGAGATATGGGTCCACTCCAAGCTGAGTCACGGGTGATAAAACACTCTCCCACTGTATTTTCTGCAGTGTGTGGATGGCTGGGTTTAAGTGCTGCTGGTGGGAGCTTAATCTCCTGGGGATGGCCATGGCAAGATGGTCACTACGTCTGATACCTGGGGACCTGCTCAAATCACTTAGATTTGACAAACACAGTATAGGGATTGGTCAGCCAGAGAGGGTGGATATGTCCACACAGAAGCCAAGCTTGTTAGCCCCTGATCACTTCAAGTGGTAATTGAACCAACCATTGACTTAATCAAGTCGGAAGTTTACATACACCTTAGCCAAATAAATTTAAACCCAGTTTTTCACAATTCCCTGTCTTAGGTCAGTTAGGATCACCACTTTATTTTAAGAATGTGAAATGTCAGAATAATAGTAGAGAGAATGATTTATTTCAGCTTTTATTTCTTTCATCACATTCCCAGTGGGTCAGAAGTTAACATACACTCAATTAGTATTTGTTAGCATTGCCTTTAAATTGTTTAACTTGGGTCAAACGTTTCGGGTAGCCTTCCACAAGCTTCCCACAATAAGTTGGGTGAATTTTGGCCCATTCCTCCTGACAGAGCTGGTATAACTGAGTCAGGTTTTAGGCCTCCTTGCTCGCACATGGTTTTTCAGTTCTGCCCACACATTTTCTATAGGATTGAGGTCATGGCTTTGTGATGGCCACTCCAATACCTTGACTTTGTTGTCCTTAAGCCATTTTGGCACAACTTTGGAAGTATGCTTGGAGTCATTGTCCATTTGGAAGCCCATTTGCGACCAAGCTTTAACTTTCTGAATGATGTCTTGAGATGTTGCTTCAATATATGTGTTCTTCGGCTTGCAAGCAACCCCCTTTTTCCTCCAAACATAACGATGGTCATTATGGCCAAACAGTTCTATTTTTGTTTCATCAGACCAGAGGACATTTCTGCAAAAAGTACGATCTTTGTCCCCATATGCAGTTGCAAACCGTAGTCTGGCTTTTTTTATGGCGGTTTTGGAGCAGTGGCTTCTTCCTTGCTGAGCGGCCTTTCAGGTTATGTCGATATAGGACTCGTTTTACTGTGGATATAGATACTTTTGTACCTGTTTCCTCCAGCATCTTCACAAGGTCCTTTGCTGTTGTTCTGGGATTGATTTGCACCAAAGTACGTTCATCTCTAGGAGACAGAACGCGTCTCCTTCCTGAGCGGTATGACGGCTGCGTGGTCCCATGATGTTCATACTTGCGTACTATTGTTTGTACAGATGAACGTGGTACCTTCAGGCATTTGGAAATTGCTCCCAAGGATGAACCAGACTTGTGGAGGTCTACTGTTTTTTTTCTGAGGGCTGATTTCTTTTGATTTTCCCATGATGTCAAGCAAGAGTTTGAAGGTAGGCCTTGAAATACATCCACAGGTACACCTCCAATTGACTCAAATTATGTCAATTAGCCTATCAGAAGCTTCTAAAGCCATGACATCATTTTCTGGAATTTTCCAAGCTCTTTAAAGGCACAGTCAACTTAGTGTATGTAAACTTCTGACCCACTGGAATTGTGATACAGTGAACTATAAGTGAAATAATCTGTCTATAAACAATTGTTGGAAGAATTACTTGTATCATGCACAAAGTAGATGTCCTAACAGACTTGCCAAAACTATAGTTTGTTAACAAGAAATTTGTGGAGTGGTTGAAAAACGAGTTTTAATGACTCCAACCTAAGTGTATGTAAACTTCCGACTTCAACTGTATGTTTGACCTGCTGGTGTTGACTCTGTCCTTGTTACACCAGTACTGCATTCCATATTGGACTGGAACACTCCAAACACACAGAGACATTCTTGGCAAGGCATCTCGAGGAGGCATGCAAGAGTTAGATCGTGTTCGCAACAAATTGTCACCTTGGAAATGCGTTCCTGTGTCATCTGTAAATGAGGAGGAATATGTATGGTATCACCTAGTAAGACAAGCCCTAGAATACCAACAACAACCTCAATTTGCACAAACTGGAGATTGTAATGAATACAGCTATCATATCTAATACTAAGCATTATTCTTTAATGATAAGCATTGATATCATTGTTCCAACATGGCTGTTTACTGTGCTGAAACGCTCATACTGTTCTCTATCTCTTCATCAGACCAAGCTGGCAGCTGCAGTGCACAGACTGCACAATTTTTCAATGTGAGTACTAATTGGCATTAAATGCTGGTGAACCAAGCCAAAGACAACCTTCTGCCCATCTTTAGCACACATCCCCAATCTGTACTAACGGAGAGGACGAATACCTCTCAAAACAATTACAATAATCACTCACTTTACAATGTCAATTAACATCCCATATAAAATATGAACTGTGCAGTCCATGATGTCTATTGCCCCCCCCCCATTAACAGATAGTTATTCCAGAGCTTACAAATAAATATACATAATAAACAAATAATAAACAAATAAATAAATAAATGTTACAAATAAACAACAGAGTAATGCCTCTGGAAGGACTTCTGGGTTCGCAGGTCCATGATGTAGTCAACATCATGTTTCTATTTGAATGAGATAGCTTACCGTGGTTTCTCTTTTTTGGGCTTGGCTTCCCTATTCATTTTACCCACGCACCACTACTATGGTAGAGAGGGAGGGAGTCAGAGAGAGACTACACACATCCACGCACATGCACACGCACGCACGCACACCCACACACACACACTCGTGCACACTCACACACACATACAGTGCCTTAAGAAAGTATTCACAACCCTTGACTTTTTCCACATTTTGTTGTGTTACAAGTTAGGATAAAAATTGATTTACTTCAAAAAAAAATTGTGAACGATCGACACAAAATACTCTGTAATGTCAAAGTGACAGGAAAATTCTAACATTTGTAAAGAATTAATAAAAAATAATAATATCTTGATTAGATACTGTAAGTATTCAACTCCCTGAGTCAACACCTTTGGCAGCGATTACAGCGGTGAGTCTTTCTGGGTAAGTCTCTAAGAGCTTTGCACACCTGCATTTTACAATATTAGCATTCAAGCTCTGTTAAGTTGGTTGTTGATTATTGCTAGACAGCCATTTTCAAGTCTTGTAACTAGGCCACTCAGGAATGTTCAATGTCGTCTTGGTAAGCAACTCCAGTGTAAATTTGGCCTTGTGTTTTAGGTTATTGTCCTGCTGAAAGGTGAATTTGTCTCCCAGTGTCTGTTGGAAAGCACAACATATACCCAATACACATAAATCTAAGTAAGGAATGGAAATAACAATATATACATATATGGACGACCAATGACAGAGCGGCATGGACTAAGATACAGTAGAATATTATAGAATACAGTATATACAGTTGAAGTCGGAAGTTTACATACACTTAGGTTGGAGTCATTAAAACTTGTTTTTCAACCACTCCATACATTTCTTGTTAACAAACTATAGTTTTGGCAAGTCGGTTAGCACATCTACTTTGTACATGACACAAGTAATTTTTCCAACAATTGTTTACAGACAAATTATTTCACTTATCATTCACTGTATCACAATTCCAGTGGGTCAGAAGTTTACATACACTAAGTTGACTGTGCCCTTAAACAGCTTGGAAAATTTCAGAAAAGGATGTCATGGCTTTAGAAGCTTCTGATAGGCTAATTGACATCATTTGAGTCAATGAGCCCAAGCATACTTCCAAAGTTGTGGCCATCACAAAGCCCTGACCTCAACCCTATAGAAAATGTGTGGGCAGAACTGAAAAACCGTGTGCGAGCAAGGAGGCCTACAAACCTGACTATTATTCTGACATTTCACATTCGTAAAATAAAGTGGTGATCCTAACTGACCTAAGACAGAGAATTTTTTATAAGATTAAATGTCAGGAATTGTGAAAAACTGAGTTTAAATGTATTTGGCTAAGGTGTATGTAAACTTCCAACTTCAACTGTACATATCAGATGAGTAATGCAAGATATGTAAACATTATTAAAGTGACTAGTGTTCCATTGATTTATATAGGCAGCAGCAGCCTCTAATGTGCTAGTGATGGCTATTTAACAGTCTGATGGCCTTGAGATAGAAGCTGTTTTTCAGTCTCTCGGTCACAGCTTTGATGCACCTGCACTGACCTCGCCTTCTGGATGATAGCGGGGTGAACAGGCACTGGCTCGTGTGGTTGATGTGTGGGGTACAGAGATGAGGTAATCATTCGAAAATCATGTTAAACACTATTATTGCACATC